CCACCCTGCTGGGCTGCTGCTGCACCCTGGCCACGGGACACTAAACCATCCCAGAAAGTGAACAGGAGACTTCCTCAGAGGACTCTTCCTCTCCCCTTTGGGTATGCCTCCCCACTCCCATACCATGTCTCCTGTGCTACCACCCCCACCCCACCGCGCCAAGGAAACCTGCCTCCAATGCTATTGTTTTATCATTCCCTTGCATCTATGCCCATCACAAACCCATCTGTTCACCTAGTAATTCATTCATTCAACAAACACTTATTGAACAAGCATAAGCCAGTGGCTGTCCCAGGATTACAAAATAAGAAAGACCCAGTTCTTTCCCTTGAAGGGCTCATGATCTTCCCATCCCAGGATCCCTCTCTGAATGCCTTGCTAATGAAACCTGTATCATTTTCTTGTTGGTATTCTTAGTAGTCCTCACTATTAAGTGTTTAATAAATATTGATGAGTAAGGAGGAGGCTGAGGAAATGAAAATACTAGCCCAGCCCCTTCTCTATCTCCAGAGGAAGTGGAGAGCTTATTTCTGGATGGTGAGCATCCAGTACACAGGGTGGGCCCTGCTGGGACCAGCCTTATCCAACTTCAGAGGCCAACTCACAACCATTGCTGGGGTCCTCTTCTTCCTCATTGGGGAAGAGGTCATCCAGGGAATCCTTGGTAGCATCTCCTTCTTTGTCCTCCTAAAAAGGAAGAAGCAGCATGACCTCTTCTTGGGTCCCTCTAAGTCATAAAATCTCTGACAGATGGGGCTTAGGAAAAGAGCCTTATTCCTGCCTCTGCCCTAAGGAAATGCCGTCATCTGGCCAAGTCAAGCTCAGGCTTCTCTTCCTTCCCTCCCTTCCCATTCAGAAACCACCTTACCCTAAACTACCTTCCCTCTCCAGCCCCTCCCTCTCTCCTGCCCAACTATTGTAATTATAGCCCCAGTGCTGATCCCTCTATGTTTACATTGATTACACGTCTGCCATGTCTCTCCTGAGGGGAGGGAGTGTTTCTGACCTTGACACGTACCCAAAGTGTCTAGCACTTCTGCCCATCATCTGGCACTGCTTACTCTGGACTTAGTGCCAGACCCTCATATATCACCTATTTCCACACTGGAGAAATTTGCTTTTTCCTATTAGGAACTGTAGTTTAATACAAAGATCTCTAGTCCTCCTACCAACTTCACCAATGTGCCCTGTGAAAATCATCTCATTTTCCCTGAGGCAGACCAGCTCTCCATCCCTGAACTCTTCTTACCTGTGACACCCTCTGTCCTGTCTAGAGAGCTCCTCTTTCTCTTTTGTCATCCTTCAAAATTCATCCCAACTCCTAACATTCCAATAAGCATTCCAAACCTGTACCCTGCTTCCTCTGTGGATCACTCTCAGACCATTCCAGACCTCAGGGACCTATCTTCTTTGAATTTCTCTTACACTGACTAAACCACTCATCCAGAATGAGCACCTGCTGCTTTGAATTATCATGGATGTGTTCTCATGTGTAAGCCTTGTTCCCTAAAGAAACATTATAAACTCAAGAAGGAACTCTTATAGTTCTTTACTTCTCTTCTATGTATGTCTTCTTGCATTACATAAAGCACAGAGATACCTAATGCCTGTTCAGTAAGGGTTGAATTTTTCACACATTTTGAGAGCAAATTTTAAGAGGGTCTTGCTCAACTGAGAGGATTCTGGATTTGAATTATCCAGCTGTTTATCTTTCTCCTATCACAAATATACCCATGAGAGCAGGAATGTCTGCTCCATTCATGAGTAGAGTACATAGTACCTGGAGCATAGTAGGCATTTAATTAAATATTGATTGAATGAAAATTGTTTCCTCTTCTTCTTGTTACCTAGAGTTGGTGTCAGGACTGAAAAAGGAATTATTCCAAGTAGGGACAGCTTGGCCATCAATCCTGGCCTCCAGGGATGATGGAGCAATTGCCTCCTGATTGTGCCCAGATACTAGCTTCTAGCCAATCCTGCCTGTGCAAACTCACCGTTGTGTGTCCATCCTCATCATACTGCCGCAGCTGTCCCAAGAACTCCAGGTGCTTCTTTTCCTCCTCCAGCTGAGCCACAGCCTGCTCACTACGCTGTAGCCGCTGCTGGGTGCCTGCCAGCTCATCCCGGAGCCACTGGTTCTCTTGGCACAGCCGCCGTACCTGAGCCCGTAACTTTTGCTTCTCTGACTCCACTGTGCTCAGATGGCTGGCAAGAGCCAGCATGACCTAGGTGGGTACATCCTGTAAGCTCCAGATTCTGGGTGGCAGCAATCAGGGACAGGCAAGAGGGAAGCCTCCTGGGAGGTGGCAAGTGGCAGCAGCACAGAGGAGCAATGAAGTAGGTAGCAATGGCTTTACCTTGAAAATATACCCTGAACTAATTTCTCACCACCTCCATTGTCATTACCCTAGGCCACGCCACCAGCTCCCACCCAGATTACAACGACCTCCTTAATGGCCTCCCTGTTTCTACCCTTTCCCTTAGAGTGTGTTCTCAACCTAGCAGTCAGATGATGTCAAGTTAGACGTTTCAACAGTTTTCATCTCTCTTGAAGTTAAAGTCTGCAAGTGCCACATGATCTGTCCTCCTCTCCCCTCTCCCATTACTCTTCAGATTTAATTTTTTATTTGCTTTTCCTTCATTCACTCTACTGCAGCCACGCTGGCCTCTTGCTGTTAACTGAAATCATCAGGCAGGTTCCAGCTCAGGGCCTTTGCACTTACAGTTCTCTCTACTTAGGACACTCTTTCCCTATTTCTTGCATGACTGGTTTCCTCACCTTCAGATCTTTGCTGAAATATTATGTTTTCAATGAGGTCTTTTTTTAGCCATCCTACCTAAAATTGTACTCTCTCTCCACACTTCCTAATTCCCTTCCCTTCATTATTTTTATCTTTTTATCCTTAACAATTATCACTCTGACAACACTGAATCATTTACTTATTTATTTGTGTACTGTTCTTCTTTCCCAGCTAGAATGACAGCTCCAAGATGGCAAAGATTTTTTTACTGCTGTGTTCAGTGATGTATGCCAGTTCCCAGAAGAGTTCCTGGCAAATAGTAGGGGCTTTAATAGATATTTACTGTATGAATGAATGCAAATGTCCAGGCAAGATGATCCTAAGTGACCCCAAACCTCCAATCAGACAATTGCCCCTCCTTGTACTCTGGACTCCTTGGCACCACCCCTGTCCTCTCACCTGGGCCTCACTCAGCCCTAGCTCGATGTTTTCCATAGAGCGACGCAGTTGCCGGGCCTTTTCATGCACCAGCCCTTCCTCATGGCCTCCCTGCTGTAGACACTCAATGGTTTGGGACAGGCTTTGCAGCACAGCCTGGTGTTCACTGTGTAGGGCCTCCAGTCCTTGGCTCACCAGCCGGGTGCTCCCCAGGATCTCCTCTTGGCTAAGGCGGTGCCCTGCAGGCTCATCCCGCTGCCCCAACACCAGGCCCGACATCCTGGCCAGGGGTAGCTCGCCTGGGCTAGAGAGAAACAACAGAGTTCAGGTAGGGTAAAAATGAGACAGGGGCTGAGGTCAGAACATGGTGCAGATTTGATCGAGCGAAGGAACAAGAGTATGTGGCTCAGCTGGAGAGAGTGATCAGTAGGGAGGCAGCCTATACCACTAAACACATAACTAAGATGAGGGAGAGGAAGTGATTTAAATGAAGAAAGTCTATAGAAGGAACAAAGGTGCTAAGAACTAGCAGAGGGATCTAGGACTTGGGAATAAAAGCAAACCAAACAGGAATTGGAGAGAGAGCTTAGCTGAGGAAAAGGGAAAGGGATGAGGGACAGCTCTACAGGAATCAGAGAAGGTACTTGAGAAAGCTGAAAGAGAATAGGGTTAAAGTAGGCAGGAGATATACAGAAAATAAAGCAGAGGCTTCCAAGAAAGGGAAGGAATAGGTTTCAAAGTTAAATTATGAGAGGGGAAAGAAGAAAGCAGGAGCCTTTCTCACAGGATTCAGATGAGAGAGTTCCAGTGGGTTACACGTCTTTAGGCTACATCACCCACAGAACTAGACCAGCATCTCCAAATCGGGTCAGCCTGTCTCTTTCCACTAATCTTCAGCCCATACTTCCCAACACCCTAGGATTAGGCTGTCTACCTACTTCCTCAAAGGTTCTAGTTTTTCATCTCTGAAGTCCTCTTACCTGTGAACAGAGCAGAGCTCTTGGCGCCACCACTCAGGCCTGAGCAGGAAGAAACTCTGCTCAGCAGCTAGGGATTCAGAAGGATCTGCCCTGCCCAAAGTCCAGAAGTCCGGCAGTCCCACCCCTTCTCTTACCACTTCACAGTCACCCAGAGGACCTGGCACAGAGCCCCATCCAGGACAAACACCCTACCTCCCTCTGCCTACAGGTCTTCAAAGATGACCAATGTCCCTCCTCCTTCCCCAACTCAGGCCTGGGGAGCTATTTTCTCCCAAGAAGGGAGATTTGATTTAATCAGCGACCTGAGGCAAAGGGTGTGTCTAGGAAAGCGTGAGGACGACGGAGACCTGGTCACTCCTAGGCCAGTTAATTCCATGGCTTTGTCTGTCTGGAGCACCTCTTAACAGGCTCTGAGGGGAATCACCTTAGGATGCTTCCTAAGTGTCTGATGGTGCAGGGAAGAATGGGAGGTCTGTTGAGCAGCTGCAGGGTCACAGGGAATTGCGACGCTGAGAGTTGGTCTCCAGGACCTGGGGTGGCGGTTCAGGAGTGTGTAGAATTGCGGACCTGCTCTGAGGCCCAGAGCGGGGATAGAGTGAGACAGGCGGGGGCCGCAGGGAAGGAGGTGTGGGTGGACGACTGAGGTTCGTGTCGCGGGCGAGGACCTGACAGCCAGATAATCCCGAGGTCACGCACTCGGTCGCGCAGGGGGCGGGGCAGACTGTCTGTCTGTCCGTCGGAACGCCGATGGGCGGGGAAGAACGGGGGGCGGAGTTTTTAAGTCGAGAGTTTTATGAGGTTGGTCGGAAGAGAGTCGTTCATCTGTCCGGGAATGAGGGAATAAAAGGTGACGGTGACCTTAGCCTTCAGCCCTAGGGGTACCCTGAAAGACTCACCTGCACTCTGTTGGTCTGGCGCCGCCTTTGCCGGTACTGCCCCTTTAAATTAATCATGGCTGCCGCTTGAGGCAATTGTTTTGACGGCTCTGGGGGCGGGGCCGAGTCCTCAGTCATGCGACCTTAGAACCGCCAGACGATTGGCTCTGACTTCGCTGGAGGAGGAAAGCTAGCTGTTAGAATTAGTCTCCAATTCTAGCCCGCCTCCTTTTACATTATTGGAAGGCGACGGCACCGGGAGCAGAACGTCATCTGGCTGCGCCAAGTAGCCCGACTAAAGGTAAAGGTAGCGTGCTGAACCCAGGGGATCCGAGCCACCCCCATGGCCCTATGGACACTGACTCGTGCTCTGGGCTCTCTCAGTCTGGCGCCTCCGGCCGTTACCGCCCCAGGCACGAGTCTACTCCCTGCTGCGCAGGTAATCCGCCTTACCCGGGTAGGAGGCTGTTTCGATTTGGGCCGTGGGAGAGAGGACTGCTAGGTAGGGATGGGAGGCGGGGGATGCGGGCAAGTCTAGTCAGGAGTAAAGCAGGCCCGTGATCTCTGCCTTAGCTCTCTCCTTTATAAATGTTGCTGCATCATAAGGCGAGATTCTTCAGAAGAGATATTGGGGTGCAAGATCTTTTGCAGATCACCAGTTGTTCAGAATGTCTACGATAAGCGAGACGTAATAGCCATTTCAAGTAAGTTAACTCCTTTCAGCCACTCTATAAAATGGTTAACATCATTTTCATTTTACAGATGAGAAAGCTGACAAGCAGTCCAAAGTCACATACCAACTATTGGAGCTAGGCAGTCTGGATTCAGAGCCTCTGTTTTTGTTTTGTTCTGTTTTGCTTTTTTGGTTTTGTGCTGAGGATTGAACTCTGGGCTTTGCACATGCTAGACATGCTGCACTCTCGGCCTTATTATAATTATAATTATCATTATTTTGTTATTGGGGATTGATTCCAGGAGTGCTTTACCTCTGAGTTACATCCCCAATGATTTTTTTTTTTTTTGAGACAAGGTCTAAGTTGTTGAGGATGGCCTCAAATTTGTAGTCCTCCTGCCTCAACCTCCTAAGTAGCTGGGATTAGAGGCATGTGCTACCACACAGGCTGAGCCTGTGCTCTCAATCATTATGATACCTACAAGAATGAGTTATTGGGCTGGGGTTGTGGCTCAGCGGCAGAGCATTTGCCTAGCATGTGTGAGGCATTGAGTTCGATCCTCAGCACCACATATAAATAAATAAATAATAAAGGTACATCAACAACTAAAAAAAGAATATTTTAAAAAATGAGTTATTGCTGAGATTAGAGAATGCTGGGCAAGAAACCAAGAATACTAGTCTCAGGAGAAGGTATCCTGAGGTCTCGAGTGGGCAACTGTTAGGCCACAAAAAAAAGGAAATTGTCAGTTTTGTTCCTTTGGTGTTCTCAGGCTGATAATGGTACATTTTGGCAGATGAACATTTAAAGTTAAAAACCAAATCAACCTACTCTGTGAAATATAGGGAATACGCAAGGAACAAGACAGAAATGATCCCTTGCTTCCATTCATATATGGGGAACTCCCTGAAACATAAGGCAGAGGGCAAAAAGCATTAATGCTGATGGTTATATATGGATATGTGGAAATTACCAGCTCTAGAAAAGAGTTATTTAGGGAAGGAAAACTTCTTGAAGATAGAGATTTTGAGCCAGATTTAAAAGATGACCAAGGGGAGAATATTCCACTGGAGAAATACTTAGAGGTGAGACACTCAAATGAGGAGAGGTAATCAACCCATATACACCTGGATAAACATTCTGTATTGATGTTTGTGCAAGCAGTAAAGGGTGGAGGTTTTGGACATCTGGTGTGGGACACTTCCAGAAAGAAATGGACTACAAGCTAAAATCGGTCTGAGCCATCTTCAGTTTTCTTTCAAGTGAAGAGATTTCTTATTATCCCTAGGTGGTGAGCAATGCCCTCCTCCAACTGCCCTCTGCGTTGATGTTGCTCCCCTGCCGCCCTATACTTACTTCTGGGGCCCTTCATGCCAAGTTTATATCCTGGAAGAGTCGTACTAAGTACACCATCGTACCAGTGAAAAAGAGGAAATCTGGGGGTCGAGACCACACAGGTGGGAGCAAGGGCTAGGACTCTAGACCTATGTATAGTAACACTTAGAGCTTGTAAAGTGCAGAGGAATATAATTCAAAAGCATTTATTGAGAGGCTCCTTCTTCATGTATTAGAGCCAGAGAGTGGAACACAAAGCAATAGACAATTGGCTGTTCACAGGAAATGCCATGACATTCTTCTTCATATTCTTCCAAAATTTATAACAGTTGAAATTATATGAGTACAATTTATATGTTATCGTAAACTTACTGAACTCAATGATTTGAAGTAAATTATCTAAAAATAATATACAATTTCAGTAATTACATAATTATATTTTTACCAAACTCTATATAGATGTTGCCTCAACCCCTTTACCCCAGTGAGCTGTGCAAATTTTTTATAATTTTCTTTCTTCTTCCTCCTTTCCTTTTTTTTTTCTTTTAAGTTTTTTGTAGTTGTAGTTGATAAGAATGCCTTTATTTTATTTGTTTATTTTTATGTGGGCTGAGGATTTTGTCTTTTAGTTGCTGCTCGGGGTATGTACCTCAGCAAGCACCCTGCCACTGAGCTACAGCCCCAGCCCTCCCTCCCCTTTTTTATGGCACTGGGGATTGAACCCAGGGGCATTCTACCACTGAGATACAGCCCCAAACCTACTTGTTTATTTAGTTCAATCAGTTTAGAGAAAAGGTCTCACTTGCTTAGTGCCTCGCTGTTGCTGAGGCTGACTTTGAACTCGTGATCTTCCTGTCTCAGCCTCCCAAGCTACTGGGATTATAGGCATGATCCCTGGCGCCCAGCCCAAACCTTTTTTTTTTTTTTTTTTTAGCTGTAGTTGGACCAATACCTTTGTTTTATTTATTTATTTTTATTTTTATGTGGTGCTCAGGATCAAACCCAAGGCCTCACAGGTGCTAGGTGAGCGCTCTACTGCTGAGCCACAACCTGAGACAGGGTCTTGCAGAACCCAGGCTGACCTTGAACTTTGGATTCTCCTGCCCAGTACCTGGGATTACAGGCGTGTACCAATGTGCCCAGCCTTATCATTTCCTTTTTGTGCCATAATGTTGGGAAGTACTACTCTCTGGCCAACATGCCTGTTCCCAGTGCTAGGTAGAAGCTGAACTAATTTGACCTGAACTGCATCCCCAAACTGTCTTGACCACAGGCCGAATCCGAGTACATGGTATTGGTGGGGGCCACAAGCAACTTTATCGCATGATTGACTTTCTGCGGTTCCGGCCAGAGCAGGAGACTAAGCCAGGACCCTTTGAGGAAAAGGTTATCAGAGTCCGCTATGATCCTTGTAGGCAAGTTTGGGATGAGGGACAATGATGGTGTGGTCTGAATGACTGCTGTGAAGTTTGTTATTAGATGATATCAGTCTTCCTTGATGGTCTTCTCCCTGTCCACGAACAGGTCAGCAGACATAGCTCTGGTTGCTGGGGGCAGTCGGAAACGTTGGATCATTGCCACAGAGAACATGCAGGCTGGAGATATAATCCTGAACTCTAACCACATAGGCCGAATGGCAGGTGAGAGATGACTACTAGATGTATGGGCTGGAGGCTGCAAAGGTTCTAGGGCTGATAAAATTTTGTCTTTTAGTTGCTGCTCGGGAAGGGGATGCACATCCTCTTGGGGCCCTGCCTGTGGGGACTCTCATTAACAACGTGGAAAGTGAGCCAGGCCGAGGGGCCCAGTATATTCGAGCTGCAGGTATGGGGAAAGGAGCTACCTGAGTCTCACAGTTAGAAAGACCAAGGGGCATTTCATGTCACAATTCTCTAACCCATGGGCCCACATCTGGTCCATTGTCAGAAGAACATGTACTTATAAAACACAGCATGCATCCTTCTTTTTTGTGTCTGTTCCTAAAAGGCAAGGCAAGGGCAGCATGTGGGCTATGGCCCTTGGGTGACCCCCACACACACCTTTGTGAAGGGTGGCAAAGCTGCTTCTCCCTTCCCCAGGGACTTGTGGTGTGCTGCTGCGGAAGGTGAATGGAACAGCCATTATCCAGTTGCCCTCTAAGAGGCAGATGCAGGTGTGTAAGTACAGGTGGGTGGGATCAGCACAGAAGGAATTTTTGGAATGTATCTTTTCCTACCTGGGATTGCTCTCAGGTGTTTTATGATACTAGCAACTTCCTCTACCTGGGTCTGTCCTTTGCTACATACCTAAGCATGCCTTGTCAGGTTGGCACCATAACGAAAGAAGAAACATTGTCTTTTCAACTACCCAGTTTCTACTATAGCTCCCCCACGTCCACCCTCTGCACTTAGGTTCTGCTGTATTATGCTTTCAACGTTGTCGGGTTCCTTTTCCTCAGTGATTCTCCTCCATCCACTTTGTCAGGTACTAGAAACATGCACAGCAACAGTCGGCAGAGTATCCAATGTTGATCATAACAAACGGGTCATCGGCAAAGCCGGTCGGAACCGCTGGCTGGGCAAGAGGCCTTCCAGTGGGCTGTGGCACCGCAAGGGGGGGTGGGCTGGCCGAAAGATTCGGCCACTGCCCCCCATGAAGAGTTATGTGAAGCTGCCCTCCGCTGCTGCCCAAAGTTGATATCCCTGAATTCCAATAAAATGTGCCATTTTTATCTGTTCCTGGGTTTTCTTTTGGAGCGGGGAATGCAGATTGGACGTGGGTAAAAGAAGCAAACAAGTATATGGGGGAAGAGAAAGGAAAGGGCAATACAGAGGAAGGAGACAAAAATGACCTCCAAGTCTCTTCCAGTTCTGACTATGGGAAATGGGAAGGCACTTCCGGCGGCGGGAGCGAGGGCAAAAAGGAAGAGGAAAGGGCGGAGCAAAGGAGGAGGTGCCGCGCATCGCCGAGGTGGCAACCACGGCTCCTCCCCAGCGTTCTCCCAGGGCCCCCAGCTTTCCGCTAGGTCCGGCGGAAATGAGCGGTGGCTCTGGGCGGGCCGCAGAGCCCCCTGAGCTGGGCGCAGAGTGCCACCGGCAGGGACCAGGCCCCGCCCTGCCCCAGCGGACACTGAGGACAGTGGCCCGACCCTGGGGTGCTGGGTCCTGCTGTGCCACGCCTCCTGCCTGTCCTGCGGAGGCACGCCCCCTCCCGCCCTGACCCCTTGGGGGGCCCAGGCGGGCCCTAATCTTCGCCAGCGTCGCAGCCATCGTCTGTGCCGCGTCCCTAGCTCTGCGAAGGACAGGCCTCGCGCAAGGACTCCGGTGGACATCTGAGGTGGCCTGAGCCCTGCCGCGGCCCCCTGCCCCTATCCTGGACTTTCTCGCGCATCGACCTCTCGCTTATTCCATCTCGCGCCCCACTTTCCCTCGGTACCTTAGGATTCTTTATCGACCTTAGACCCCTCTCCCATCCTGTCGCGTGATCCGAGCTTCTTAGGACTTGGTCTGGTCGACCAAGCCTCAGGCCCCTCACCCACCTGGTCTCCACTGTAGGGTGTCTGGGGCCTCGCGGCTCCCCAGCAGCCTTTCTTTTCCTATTGCTCTTATTGTAGGCGTGCTTAGCCCCTGACCCTCTCCTCATAGCGCCTTGCACTTATACTCCACCATCAGTTCTCGGTGTCTCTAGCCTCTGGGGCTCACAACCCAGTGTTTCAGCCCTTAGAAATAGCACCCCTTTTCATACACACTCGGATTTCCCTTCCCAGTCCCCCAAACATACTCTGGCTTCACACACACCCTTCCCAGAACCTTGGGATTCTGCCTGTAACTAAGAGGCACCCTGCCCCACTCACTCCATGCTGCAGGCCTTTGTGATCTTCCTTTTTTAATCCCTAAATTTTGTGGTCTCAGAACAAATACCCCAGTGTTCCTCTGCCTAGCTCTGGCCCCACCCAGCCTGCAGCAGGCTACTCCTGGGCCCAGCTTTACCCCACCCAGCCCAACAGCTGTTGCCACATTTGTTTCCCCAACTCTTGGGAGGCCTTGATTTTTCTGACCTCCCCTCTCACTTGAGCTTGCCTGTTCTCTTTTCCTTGTGTCTCAGGTGCCAGGATGGTGGGGGAACTCCGCTACAGGGAATTCAGGGTGCCCCTTGGGCCTGGCTTGCATGCCTATCCTGATGAGCTGATCCGCCAGCGGGTGGGCCATGATGGGCACCCTGAGTACCAGATTCGCTGGCTGATCCTCAGGCGTGGAGATGATGGGGAAGGGGCCTCCAGCCAAGTGGACTGCAAAGCTGAGCACATCCTCCTATGGATGTCTGACGATGAAATCTATGCCAACTGCCACAAGATGCTGGGCGAGGATGGCCAGGTCATCGGGCCCTCCAGAGAGTCTGCGGAGGCTGGAGCCTTGGACAAAACTGTGCTAGGGGAAATGGAAACTGATGTGAAGTCCCTGATTCAGAGGGCCCTTCGGCAACTGGAGGAGTGTGTAGGCACCATGCCTCCTGCTCCTTTGCTTCATACTGTCCATGTGCTCAGCGCCTATGCTAGCATTGAGCCCCTCACTGGGGTCTTCAAAGACCCAAGGGTTTTGGACTTGCTCATGCACATGTTGAGTAGTCCTGATTATCAGGTTCGCTGGAGCGCAGGCCGGATGATACAAGCCCTATCCTCCCATGATGCTGGTGAGGGACAGTATGGGGAGGAAGGGAAAGCAGGAGAGGGGCTGGGTCGGCTCAGGGACTCACAGGACACTGTGGCGGGAGCCTCTGACCTCATCAGTACGTAAAAAAGATTCTGTTGCCCTTCTCATAAAAGTTTGAAAAAAAGGAGGGGGTCGGTGTAGGGTGGGGGCAGGGGCATCTCTGAAGAAAGAATAACTCTGAGGAACCTCATATTAATTGACTTTCTGTGCAAAGCAAGAGTCTGGATTTTAGACTATTACAGATTGTGGGTGTGGGTATGGGTAAGGTAGTAAATTTTGGCTTTTGAAACATATCAACAAATCATGTCATTCCTACTGAGTGGTAGCAAATGATTTTTATTTTATTGAGTGTAAACTCTTAAGAGAGGTGTCTGGGAAGAATGAGTTAGGAAGCAGTTACTGACTGGGATGTGGGTTACAGGGACCCGGACCCAGATCCTTCTGTCATTGAGCCAGCAAGAAGCCATTGAGAAACACCTGGATTTTGACAGCCGATGTGCTCTGCTAGCTCTGTTTGCACAGGCCACGCTCTCTGAACATCCCATGTCTTTCGAGGGCATTCAGCTACCTCAGGTATCCTGTGGGGGCATGGGGTGGGGGAGGTTGTGAGCAAGATCTGAGAACCAGGCCTTTGCACCTGTCAGAGGACAGTGTAGAAAGAGGAACTAAAGCTGACAAGGTGGGTGAAAGCCAAAGTTTATATCCCACAGGTCCCAGGAAGGCTGCTCTTCTCTCTGGTGAAGTGGTATTTGCATGTTACTTTTCTCCTGGATCAGCTGAATGACAGTGCTGGGGAACCAGGAGCCCAGAACAACTCTGCCCCTGAGGAGTTGAGTGGGGAGAGGGGCCGCCTGGAGCTGGAATTCAGTATGGCCATGGGCACTCTGATTTCTGAGCTTGTGCAGGCCATGCGTTGGGACTGGGCCACGAGCAGACCAGGGAGCCTGGCGCGGTCTCCCTGTTCCATCTTCCAGCCTCAGCCTGCAGATGCCAGTCCAGGGCACCTCTCCACCCAAGCCCAGCGCTCCTTCAGGAGGTCAAGACGGTTTCGTCCTCGATCTGAGTTTGCAAGTGGCAATACTTATGCCTTATATGTGCGGGACATGCTGCAGCCAGGCATGAGAGTGCGGATGCTGGATGATTATGAGGAGATCAGCGTTGGGGATGAAGGCGAGTTCCGCCAGAGCAACAGTGGTGTGCCCCCCGCACAGGTGAGAAGCACTGTGGCAAGACACTGTTCTGAATTTTATTGGTTGGATTTAGCTGTGCCTTTTTGTGGCCCTTAGCTTGGCAACCCACTGGGAAAACCCTCAAATCAAGATGGTAAAATGGGGTCAGCAATTCAAAGGGAGGTTATTTGAAGGGCTAAGACTATCTGGGTATCAGAGGCTCACACCTAGGAAGAAAATGATATAGTTACCTTCTTCCAAAGGTCAGTATCAGGGAGATGGGGTGCTTGAGGTCAGGTGAAAGTATAGCAATGTAACCCATCAAGCATAGGCTGGCAGGAGAAACAGCCCATCCCAGAAGAGCAATGTATCTTTTGGGTATATGTACATGCTTTTCATATGCCAGTGTTTGGCTACTTAGAAGTATTTCCAAACTTGGTCAGGTGGTCATACTGGAGTTGAGTCCTCATCGTTGGGAATTAGCCAGTCTTAGTGAGCCTTCTCCTCCTTTTCCCTCATTTTCCCTCCATCATCCAGGTGCTGTGGGAGTCAACAGGCCGCACCTACTGGGTGCACTGGCACATGCTAGAGATCTTGGGATTTGAGGAAGACATTGAGGACGCGGTTGAAGCTGATGAGTACCAGGGGGCAGTAGTCAGTAGAGTCTTGGGCGGAGGTGAGCTCAGAGAGGAATGTAGGGATCAGCCCTGAGCAGAGGAATGGTGGTCTGGCTGGGTGGGCAATGACGTGGCTGTCCCACGGCCCATTTGCACAGCACTGCCATCCTGGCGCTGGAAGCCTATGACTGAACTCTATGCTGTGCCTTATGTGCTGCCTGAGGATGAGGATGCTGAAGAGAGTGAACACCTGACCCAGGCCGAGTGGTGGGAGCTCCTCTTCTTCATCAAAAAGTTGGATGGACCTGATTACCAGGAGGTTTTCCAGATCCTACAGGACAACCTGGAAGGGGAGGTAGACACTCAGGGGATGAAGGACATTGTTGCAAGGGCTGGACTGTGACAGACATTTGGAAGGCTCCAGATGGCCAAAGGAAGTCATGAGACAAAAGAGCCACTAGGGAGGAGTCTGGAATGTCCAGAGATGCAGATGTGGGTAAAATGTTTGGGAGGAGCCAGCTACCAGCCTTGAGAGGTTCAGGGTGGAGAGTATGTGTGCAGGGGAGATCCCTGTCCCTTCCAGGTTCTCCCTGGAGCCTTTGCCCTTAGAGCTATCTTCAGTTAGACCTTCTCCTTGATAGCACGTTCTAGATGAGGAGATCCTGGCTGAGCTGGCTGTACCCATGGAGTTGGCCCAGGACCTGCTGCTCTCTCTGCCACAGCGACTTGATGACAGTGCCCTAAGAGACCTGCTCAACTGCCGGGTTTACAGGAAGTATGGGCCTGAGGCCCTGGCAGGGCAGCCAGCTTACCCATCCTTTCTAGAAGCCCAGCAAGATGTGCTCCTGCTGAAAGCCCAGGCTCAGCCTCAGGAGTCAGAAAATGCAGCCAGAGTAGAAGGTGGGTGTCAGGCTTACCACCTAAAGCAAGTGGGCATTCTTTTTTTGGGGGAGGAGGGGTACCGGGGATTGAACTCAGGGACACCCAGTCGCTGAACTCAGGGACACCCAATTGCTGGATGCCTGCATTCCCAGCCCTTATTGGTATTTTAATAGAAACAGGGTCTCACTGAGTTGCTTAGTGCTCTCTGTTGCTGAGGCTGGCTTTGAATTCGCGATTCTCTTGTCTCAGCCTCCCTAGCCACTGGGATTATAGGCATGTGCCACTGCGCCTGGTTAACAGGGCGTTCTTAAGGACTCTGCTGCTTGTTGTGCAGTTCTTTCTGGGAAAGACGGCACTTTATTTAGTGAGAATCCAAAATTTAGAGATAAGCAATAAGTGGAGAAGTAGACACTGAACTTCCCTTAAAGAATAAAGGATGGGCTGGGGTTGTAGCTCAGAGGTAGAGTACTTGCCTAGCACATGTGAGGGACTGGGTTCGATCCTCAGTATCACATCTAAATAAATAAATAAATAAATAAAGGTACTGTCTATCTACACCTAAAAAATATTAAAAAAAAAAAAAGAAAGAAAGAAAAGAAAGCCAAGTGTGGTGGTATAAACCTGGAGTCCCAGCTACTTGTGGACTGAGGTAGGAAGATCATTTGAGTCTAGGAGTTCAAGGCCAGCCATGGCAAGATAATCAGTCCACATCTCAAAATACAAAAAAGGATAATGGAGGACGTAAAGTTAGAACATTGTAAGAGGTTTTTGAGGCCTAAAAAAGTCCTGACTTTTGCCAGGTATGGTGGTACATGCCTATAATCCAGTAACTTGAGAGGCTGAGGAAGGAGGATGGCAAATTTGAGACCAGACTGGGCAATTTAATGAGACCCTGCCTCAAAAAAAAAAAGTCCTGTGATTATAGCTCAGTGGTAGAGTACTTCTATTTAGAGAGAGAGAGAGAGAGAAAGAAATTATGAAATCTCCAAAACTAACTTACAGGAGGAAGACCAAAAAAAGTCAGGCTCAGCATGTGGCTCAGTGGTAGTATATATGCTTGGTATACACAGTGCCCTGGGTTCTATCCCTAACATGGAAAGGGAAAAAATAAAAATCATTTTTAGGAGACACTAGAAGTAAAGATTGAGAGTAAAGAATCTGTCCTTTTCTGAGCCTCTGCATCACTAACAGTGACCAATTCTTGTAACACCTCTTCCTATAGTGAAGGAACCCACACCTCAGAGCCTCAGTGCTTCCCTGCAGTCTCTGGTGGAGGGTTTGGGCCCAGCTGGGAAACTCCTTGTGGATCTGGAACGAGCCCTGAACTCTGAGGGACCCCGGGAGAGAGAGGTCAAGCCATGCCTGCTGCAGCTCCAGCGGCAGCCCCAGCCCTTCCTTGCACTGATGCAGACCTTGGACACTCCAGCTACCAACAAGGCCCTGCATCTGACTGCGCTGAAGTGAGGAACTGGTGAGAGGTGGGGATAGGCAAAGGGCCTCAGGCCAGCTGTGCATCTCTGCCTTCTGCCCCTGCTCCTAGAATCCTGACGCAGCTGGTGGACTTCCCCGAGGCACTGCTGCTTCCCTGGCACGAGGCCATGGATGCCTGCATGACCTGCCTGCGGTCCCCCAACACTGATCGAGAGGTACCCCTGCCCTGCTCCAGGGACATGCTGGGAGGGAGAGGACACAAGGCAGCCACTGGTGAGGCAAACCCCCTCAGCAAGGAAATGATAGAGCCTTTGTGCTCTTGGTTGAAGTTTTGCTTTTTTTTTTTTAAGTTGTAGATGAACACAATATCTTTATTTTATTTATTTATTTTTATATGATGCTGAGGATTGAACCCCGTGCCTCACACATGCTAGGCAAGTGCTCTACCACTGAGCTATAGCCCCAGCCCTGAAGTTTTGCTTTTAAAATTGAATTTTAGCTAGGCACGGTGGCACCTGCCTATAATCCCAGCAACTCAGGAAATTGAGGCCAGAGGGTGGCAAGTTCAGTCAGCCTCACCAAATTAGTAAGACTTATGTCTCAAAATATAACATGAAAAATGGCTGGGGGTATAGCTCAGTGGTAGAACATCCCTGGGTGGAATCCCCAGCACCTAAAGAAAAAAGTTTAAAATTTAATCTTATTTTTTTTAAATAGGTTATGCATTCAAACAGTTCACAAATCAAAATGATATAACAAGGTATACATTGAGAACTCTTGCTCCCACTTGAATTTCTGTCACTCAGTACTCCCCCCACTTGTATTAATTTTATGTATCCTTCCTGTGTTTCCTATGCAAATATAAACAAATAAGAGCTTCAGTGGTTCCTTTTTTGGCTGGTTCTATGGGGTAAAGAGGTGCAGGAGACAGGGGGCACACCACATTACAAGTGTTCCCTGCAAGAGCTACAGAGAGGTCCTGGGCACAGAAGGCTTTAGAAGGGATCAGAGAATTAGGGTCATGGTGGCAGTAAGTGTCTACAGTCCACAACTTTTGCTATTACTCAGATTTTAATTTCTAAAAGGGTACCCCTGAGGGAATATACACAAATCCAGTTCCTTTTGGGCCCCACCAAGCCCTTCCAAGTGACTGAACTTGGGGCCTGAATATTTCAAAACACAGACCTACAATTCATTTTCAGGATAGGTGGGCCTGAATGAGAGAATCCAGGATTTCTCTCTGTACCTGTTGTCACCATACTCAGTAGCTTAGAACCCCAGGATGGCAAGATGTCCCTTGGCTCTTTCCTTTTTGGCTTGCTTTTGGTTCTCTAACTCCACCTAGCTTTATGTCTCTCCCATCCCTGTCCTTATACTTCATCACTCTGTCTCGTTCACTGCAGCACCCCCAGCACCCAGTACATAATGGGTTTTTACCACTGTGGGTGCCCTTCTGGCCTGTTCCCTGAGTCCTATATTTATGACCCCCTTGACATCGCCATCCCAGGTGCTCCAAGAACTGATCACCTTCCTGCATCGCCTGACCTCAGCAAGCAGGGACTACGCTGTGGTGCTGAATCAGCTGGGAGCCCGAGATGCCATCTCCAAGGCCCTGGAAAAGCACCTGGGAAAGTTGGAGCTGGCTCAGGAGCTGCGGGACATGGTGTTCAAGTGTGAGAAGCATGCCCACCTCTACCGGAAGCTCACCACTAACATCCTAGGCGGCTGCATCCAGGTCAGGAGGAAGGGCAGGATGAAGCTTGTGGGTTCAGAGCTGCCTAAGAATACAAAATCCAGCAGTGGCTGGGAAGGGGCTGTGTTCCTGAAGCTGGGAACAGCAGATGACTCAAGTGAGCCTGGGAACATTTGTTCCCTGCCCTCTCTTCCCACCACTGCTTGAGCTTTCCTCCATCCATATTTCTGTGTGTCTTTCCACATTCCTCCCATACCTCTTCTCTCTGATGTTCCGGCTGCAGATGGTGCTGGGCCAAATTGAAGACCACAGGCGAACCCACCGGCCCATCAACATCCCTTTCTTTGATGTGTTCCTCAGATATCTGTGCCAGGGTTTGTACCTGTCCCCCAGTTGCTCAACATCCCCACACCTATACCATTTCCCCTCTGTACTTGTCTGGCTGTGACCTCCACTTCTTTCCCAGGCTCCAGTGTGGATGTAAAGGAGGACAAGTGCTGGGAGAAGGTGGAGGTGTCCTCCAACCCACACCGGGCAAGTAAGCTGACAGATCGTAACCCTAAGACCTACTGGGAGTCCAATGGCAGTGCAGGCTCCCACTCCATCACCTTGCACATGCGTCAGGGTGTCCTCATCAGGTAATATGCTCCTGTGTATATGCTTAGTGACACACCTGGGCTTTCTTGTGACTTCCCTGTGTTGGAGAATGCACCATCCCTCTGAATTTGGTGAGTCTACAAGGACATGAGAGGTTCCAGTTCCCATTGGATCTTCCTTCCCACTCCTAGGCAGCTAACAGTGCTGGTGGCTGGTGAAGACTCGAGCTACATGCCAGCCCGGCTGGTAGTGTGCGGGGGCGACAGCATCAACTCTCTTAACACGGAACTCAACTCGGTAGGAACCCCTGTGCCATTAGCCTATCACTTGCAGATCTGCCCTCCTATCCTGCCCTAATCTCCTAACTTCCTACCCGTTTTGAGCCCCATAAAAGCAGAGTCCTTTATTCCTGTGCCTATGTGATGGCATCAGGTCTCAAGCAGTGGGGGTGGCATTAGGGTCCCTTTTATTTTTTTATTATTTTTTTTAGTTGTACATGGACACAATACCTTTATTTATTTATTTGTATGTGTTGTTGAGGGTCAGACAGAGTGCTTTACGTGTGCAAGGCAAGCACTCTACCATTGAGCCACAATCTCATGCCCTAGGGTCTTTTTTTTTTTTTTAGGAGCCCCATGTCCCAGGACTATAGGAGGAAGGGACACAGCTAGGAGATTGGTGCTGATATAGGTGCTTTCAATACTCCTATCTACATATGCAGAGGTGACAGTCCTCTCTATCCCTTGACAGGTGAATGTGATGCCCTATGCCAGCAGGGTGACTCTCCTGGAGAACCTGACCCGCTTTTGGCCCATCATCCAGATCCGCATAAAGCGCTGTCAGCAGGTGTGACTGGGGGTATGGGGTTCTGAGGCCCTGCACTTTGTGGATCTTGAGCCTGGCTCTCAGGCAGCTCCAGGGGTGAGGATTGAGGGCATAGCCAACCCTAGCCCAACCCAAGAAGGGTATGGGCAAATGAAAAGAGTCCTGTGTCTGTTACAGGGTGGCATTGACACTCGCATTCGGGGGCTGGAGGTCCTGGGCCCCAAGCCCACTTTCTGGCCAGTGTTCCGGGAGCAACTGTGTCGTCATACACGCCTCTTCTACATGGTTCGGGCACAGGCCTGGAGTCAGGACATAGCAGAGGACCGCAGGAGCCTTCTGCATCTGAGTTCTAGGTATGTGGAAATGTAGGTGTGTCTGTCTGTGCAGAAGGTCAGATTATCACAAATGACTAACAGGCTGGGTTCTAGAGAGGCCATGAGTTAGGGCTTTAATACAATTGGGAAGAGGAAAAAAGGATAAAGCAGTTTCCCCTCTGTGCCAGGATGGGATGTACCAGTTAGCCCAGGGCAGTTATTAAATACCAAGAGGGGCTCTGGCCTGGGTGCTGAGGGCAAGCTGACTGGGCAGATACTGGGCAACTTAAGCCTCAAGCCCTACACCTTCCTTCTGCATTCTCCTCCCCAGACTGAATGGAGCTCTGCGCCAGGAGCAGAATTTTGCAGATCACTTCCTCCCTGACGATGAGGCTGCCCAAGCACTGGGCAAGACCTGCTGGGAAGCCCTGGTCAGCCCCCTAGTGCAGAACATCACCTCACCTGGTAATCATTCTGACACCTGGCCCCACCAACCAGGTCTTTCTTGCTCTAACCTAGAAATACCTGGGTGGGCTGAGGATGTGGCTCAAGCTGTAGCGCGCTTGAGCCACATTGCCTGGCATGCGTGCGGCCCGGGTTCGATCCTCAGCACCACATACAAACAAAGATGTTGTGTCCGCCGAAAACTAAAAAAAAATAAATAAACATTAGAAATACTTGGGATATGCTCTTGGTCCTTTTGGTTCCTATGTTTGTCACCCTGGTCCCTTCCTCCCCACCCAGTGTCTGCCCAAGTGCTAACCAACACTGTAAGGTCAGTGGAAGCCTGCTGCCCCTCTTCCATGTGTCATTCCGTTCTATTGCTCTCTCCCGAACTCTCAATTCCCCAAAGACATGCCACGTGTTGACTTATTTTTCTTGTCCTCCAGATGAGGATGGCATTAGCCCCTTGGGCTGGCTGCTGGACCAGTACCTGGAGTGTCGGGAGGCTTCTCATAATCCCCAGAGCCGGGCAGCAGCATTCTCCTCTCGTGTGCGTCGCCTTACCCACCTGCTAGTGCATGTGGAGCCTTGTGAGATGGCCCCTCCAGTGGTGGCCGCCCCTCGGCCTAGTGAGTACTGGGGATTCCAATAGCAGGTCTAGTTAGGAGCATTTCCTGGGCCCCCACTCACATGTTAGGCTTGTATTAGGCCATCCAGGAACATCATTTTGGAGAGCAGCCTGTCTAAGGCCTTAGGAATCATCCTTGGGGACCTGAGGGGCTGCCCCCTTCTTGCCTCTGCCACTTTCTCTGTCTCCACAGAGGGCAGAAACAGAAGCCATGACTGGAGCTCCTTGGCCACCAGAGGCCTTCCGAGCAGCATCATGAGAAATCTGACCCGCTGTTGGCGGGCTGTGGTAGAGGAGCAGGTGGGCAGGGGCAGGCATGGGTTGAGGGACACTGTGGTGGTGGCATGATCAGTGCCTCTTCACGTTCCTGTGCCTTCCTTCCAGGTGAATAACTTTCTAACCTCTTACTGGCGGGACGATGACTTTGTGCCACGCTATTGTGAACACTATTATAACCTGCAGAAGTCGAGCTCTGAGCTGTTTGGGCCACGGGCAGCCTTCTTGCTGGCGCTGCAGAATGGCTGTGCTGGAGCCTTGCTCAGGCTCCCTTTCCTCAGAGCTGCCCATGTAAGCCACTCTCCCACACCTCTACCAGGCCCCTCCCCTCTGACTTTCCCCTCCCTGCCTCCCCTAAATGACCCACCCTCCATTCCCATTCTGTTTGAATATAACCATGTTTGGTTTTTGTGTGTGTGTGTGTGGGGGGGGTACTAGATTGAACCCAGGAATGCTTTACTACTGAGCTATATCCCCAGTCCTTTTGATTTTTTTTGAGACAGGATCTCGCAGAGTTGCCCAAACTAGCCTCAAACTTTCAGTTCTCCTGTGTCAAGTCTCCCAAATTGCTGGGATTGCCGGCCTGTGCTGCTGTGCATGACACATTAGAAGTTTTTTCCAGTGTTGCTCCCTGCCCTCATGTTTTGTTTGTGCATTGATACCACCTGGTGGATGTACTGTGATTTACTTACCATTCTCATTCTTTCAACAAGTATTTAAAAGCATTGGGCGTCAAGCAGTGTGATGAAAGGTAAAGGAAGAATAATGAGCAAGACAGAGGGCCTCATTTAAGGAACACACACAGCAAATGTTAAGCAAATCATGAACATGACAAACACCCTGGAGAGCAAGGTCCAGTGCAGCAGGGTAGTGGCGCTGTGTTTACTTGAGTTGCTTCTGGTTCTGTTTTATCAGTAATACCACAGTGTACTGTCTTTGGCCATATAACCGATTTCCTCATTTAAAATTACTATTATTTGAAGCGTGCACTGTGGCATATGCCTATAATCCCAGCTACTCTGGAGACTGAGAGGCAGGAGGATCACAAGCTGCCTATCTCAAAACAAAAATTTTTAAAAAGTAATAAAAAGAAGGACTGGGGATGTAGTTCAGTGGTAGAGTGCTCCTGTGTTCAATCCCCAATACCACAAAAATAAGAAAATAAATAAAATTACTATTGTCTGATTTTTAGACACAAAGAAAACATTTTTCAAAATTGTTAATATTGCTAATTTGCACAGTTATTGATTTTATAAAATAGTTTTATAAAAGTGTTAATCAGGTTGGTGATGTACCTCAGTAGTTGAGCATGTGCTTAGCATGTACAAAAACCTGGGTTACATTGCCCAGCAACAACAAAATATAGGGTTGACCAATGGAGAGGATGCCAGCCATTCACATCTCCTTTCTCAGACCTTCTCACTGCTTCTGCTCACCTGCTCCCCTTGGCCGACTTGCTCAGGTTATCCTTACTTTCCCAACACCTAGGTGAGCGAGCAGTTTGCCCGGCACATTGATCAGCGGATCCAGGGTAGCCGGATTGGTGGAGCCCGGGGAATGGAGATGCTGGCACAACTGCAGCGATGCCTGGAAACTGTCCTAAATTTCTCTGGCCTTGAGATAGCCACCACCTTTGAGCATTACTACCAGTGAGTGTGGACCTAGGGAATAGGAGATGGAGGGACACAGGATGGTGGGTCAGGGCTAGCTCACAGAGCCTGGGAATCTGGAATATAGTCAGGCTGGAACCCTGGAGTAGGAAGCTGGTTCATGCTGGTACTCCCACTGAGATCTGGCCTGGGTTGTGTGTGTCATAGGCAGTACATGGCAGACCGTCTACTGGGCGTTGGCTCCAGCTGGCTGGAGGGGGCTGTGCTGGAGCAGATTGGTCCCTGCTTCCCCAATCGCCTCCCCCAGCAGATGTTGCGGAGCCTGAGCACCTCAGAGGAGCTGCAGCGCCAGTTCCATGTCTACCAACTCCAGCAGCTCGATCAGGAACTCCTAAAGCTGGAGGACACAGAGAAGAAAATACAGGTAGGTGCCAGGGAAAGAATGTACAAGTAAGAAGGTGGGAAGGGAGAAACATGGAGCTGGACAGAAGAGGCCCTCAGCATTTGGAAATCCTGTGCCCCTTCAGGTGGGCCACGAGGCCAGTGGCAAGGAGCATAAGAGTGGAAAGGAAGAAGATGCTGGGGAAGCAGTGGCTGCAGATGTGGTGGAGGGAGAGGAGGAGGAGAATGAGGATCTCTACTATGAAGGGGCAATGCCAGAAGTATCTGTGCTTGTTCTGTCCCCGCGCTGCTGGCCTATCGCTTCCATATGCCATATGCTGAACCCTGGAACCTGCCTGCCCTCCTACCTGAGGGGCACTTTGAACCGATACTCCAACTTCTACAACAAGAGTGAGGAAGCAGGCAGAGGGACTGTGGTGGACTGGAGAGAGGACAGGCTGTTGGGGAAGGGCCTGAGGCTGGGGTAGACCCTGGGGTCAGGAGCTTTGGTGGGAACAAACATGGTCTTTAGGGATAAGACTCCCTCAGGCAACAGGGGAAGGGAGGTGGATCTGAGAAGAAAGGGTAGGAGCTGCAGTTTTGTCTGGGGTAAAGATTCTGTCAGACTACAGATCCCAGGAATCTGAGGGTAGTGGGGAGAAGAGAAAGAGGAGGGACCTGAGTAAGGCCACCAGAAAGGGCTTTCCCTGGGAGTAGGTATGTGGCTCCTTCTTGGTCAGTCACCTGTAGTTCCAAACTGCTAACTTCCCATTGAGGGCTAATCTGTGTTCTGGGCAGCAACCAAGGAGGAAAAGAAATTTAATCTACCCTCAGGTAGCTCACAGACTATTGGGAGAGACACTTCCCCTCTTAAATATTCCAGTTTAATAAGAGCCCCAGTCTTCTTACCTCACTGCATTGTTTCGTCTCTAAATAAAACGGGCCTAACACAGGAGTAGGCCCAGGCTGGCTCCCAGATACCTGAGATTCGCCAGAGGGGTAGATCAGAGAAATCTGGGATCTGGAATTTCAGATTGGGACCCTCTGTTATCTATAAATGCTGAGGCCACGTGCTTTGCAGACATTAGCAGAAAGCAAACTTGGCCAATAGCGCACACTTCCTGAAACCCCATTCCTTCCTTTCCTCTCCCCTTTGTTTTCCTCCCTTCCTTGGTACTTCTCCAGGTCAGAGACACCCTGCCTTAGAGCGAGGCCCACAGAGGCAACTACAGTGGACGTGGCTGGGCCGGGCTGAGGTGCAGTTTGGGGACCAGACCCTTCATGTGTCCACCATGCAAATGTGGCTGCTGCTGAATCTCAACAATCTAAAGGTGGCCCAGCTCCTCTGCCTTTTCCCACTTTGTCCTTCACTTTTCTAAACTCTTCCCTTCATCCTCTTCCCTCCACTCCTGGAGAGGCCCTGAATGCTTTGTGCCTCTTCTCTTAAGGCGGTGTCTGTAGAGAGCCTGTTGGCACTCTCAGGGCTCCCTCTGGAGATGCTGAATCAGGCAATTGGGCCTCTCACCTCTTCAAGAGGCCCCTTGGATCTTCAGGAGCAGAAGGATGTACCAGGAGGTATACACTCAGGGCCAGAGGGCCTCTGTTCTGAGCTAGGGTCAGGTTCCTTGTGAGCCCCTACCAAGTGACCACCATTTATTTCAGGGGTGCTCAAGATTCGAGATGACAGTGAGGAACCCAGGCCAAGGAGGGGCAATGTGTGGCTTATCCCACCTCAGACATACATGAAAGCTGAAGATGAAGAAGGCCGGAACTTGGAGAAGAGACGGAACCTTCTCAACTGCCTTGTTGTTCGAATCCTCAAGGCCCACGGGGATGAAGGGCTGCACATTGACCAGCTTGTCTGCCTGGTAGGTAGTGGTAGTCAAAGGGATGTGGGTTTGGGGTGAGGGCAGCCTACAGAAGGTCCATATTTGAAGCATCTTGTTCACTGTGCAGGTGCAGCCTATAGATGTGTGAGAAGTAAGGCTGAGGTTCACCTAATGTGCTCAGGACTTCCTGTCCTCTCATGTGGTTGGTGTGGAAGGTGTTGTCTCTGACCTGTTTCTCTCTGGTCTCCCATAATAGGTGCTGGAGGCTTGGCAGAAGGGCCCATGTCCTCCGAGGGGTTTGGTCAGCAGCCTTGGTAGAGGGGCTGCATGTAGCAGCACTGATGTCCTCTCCTGCATCCTGCACCTCCTGGGCAAGGGCACGCTGAGACGCCATGATGACCGGCCCCAAATGCTGTCCTATGCAGTCCCTGTGACTGTGATGGAGCCCCACACCGAGTCCCTAAACCCAGGCTCCTCAGGCCCTAACCCACCACTCACCTTCCACACCCTGCAGATTCGCTCCCGTGGTGTGCCCTATGCCTCCTGCACTGGCACCCAGAGCTTCTCTACTTTCCGGTAGCCCTACGAATGGGGTCCATGATAGGTGAGACTGGAGCTTTTTACAGAAATAAAACATGGAGTTTGATTATGTGATCTGTCGTTTGGTGACTGCTAGAACTGAGATGGGCAAGAGGCTTTCCTGGATGGCTGGGAGAAGGATCCCTCTGGCACTGAGGCTATCTCCTACCATGCTAGGAGATTTGTCAAGATGAGGAAGGTGGAATGGGGAGAAAGGGAGAGGTAGTCAGATATGTCTTCCCAGTCCTCTCCAGCCAGTATTAAGGACCAGGATGGAGCTCAGCTCCTTCTAAGTGTGTATGCAGAAGCACTTTCATCTCACAGGCTGGAGACCCAAGCCCACCTCAGCCACTAGCCAGATGCTTTGTAACTTGGGTAGTTATCAGGCATGGTTTCATTTTCTTTGTTTCTGGTACTGAACCAGTTGCTGAGGGACTGACGAGTAACAGGTGTGGAAACATTTGACCCAGGGACAGCTTTGCCAGTGAGTTCCTGTTTGGTTGCCACTCCCAGCAGTAAGTAAAATTCACCCATTCCTTCCCTAAGGCAGACAGGAGATAAAAGATTCCTGTAGCCACTACAAGCATCCAAGAACCTGTCCTTTTTTTTTTTTTTTTTTTTTTGGATATTTTATTTAGAGACAGCGTCTCAGAGTTGCTTAGCACCTCACTTTTGCTGAGGCTGGCTTTGAACTTGTGATCCTCCTGCCTCAACCTTCTGAGCCACTGGGATTACGGGAATGCATCATCATTCCTGGCTGTCTTTTATCCAGTGCTTTAGAATCTGGGTTGGAAGTAGATATGAGACTATAGCTGTTATTTCCTCCCATAAGCTCCTCTACATTGCCCCTCTCTTCCCATCCTCCTCTGCTTCCACCTCTCCTCTGGTAGAGCTGCACACACTGTCCTGGAATTCCTACCTCCATCTAGCCCCCTAGGCAAGCCTTGCTGCTGTTGGGGGGGGGGGTTGCTGTATTCTGATTGGCTGCTCTGCCTCCACCCACATTGAGGCTGCACAGGGCACACTAGGGGACCCAATGCCAAGGGTGGAGTTATGCATCTTGACAAGGACACTGGGGAGGAGGGAAGGAGTCCAGGGTTCTTGAAGCTCACCAGTGACAGGAAGAAAGTTATAAAAGAAAGGGAAGGATCAGGTGCTAAGGGAGGTCACAGACACTAGGCAGAAGGAATAGAGCCACTCAGGATTGAGATTAGGAACGGAGTCTATAAGGGAAAAAGAGGTCAGGGCCTGGGAGAATCAGAGAAATCAAGAGGAAGCAATGGAACAGAGGGCAGAGCGTCACCAAAGGACTGAGGGCTCAAATGCTTTGCAGTACTGGTTCCATGGTGCTTTTGGTAGGTATTACAGCAAGTGCCTGCCTATTGGCCCATGGCTGCCCTGGAGGGGCAGAGACCAGAGAACAAGCAATAGGCAGGGGCAGTAGTGGGCTCAGGGTATGGGGTTGCTGTAGTGTGTCACTTGGGTGCCTTTCCTTTGTAGCAGAGACCATGCCTTTTATTGGTCAAGACATCCTCTTGTTCTTGAGCTAGTGCTCAGGTACCAAAACTTCTCTGAACTCTACTCCTTGTGATGGCTAATGTGAATTGTCAGATTGATTAGATTAAGAGATGCCTAAAATTAGGAGGCTTCTGAGTGTCTCATTGAGGGTGTTTGTAGGAATGATTTGCATGTGGGACAGCAAACTGAGGCCGAGACCCACCCTACTGTGAGGAGCTGTCCAGTAGGTTGGGAGCTTAGATGAAACAAAAACTGGAAGAACAAGGAAACAGCAGCAGACACAGCTCAATTCTTGAGAAGTTCTTCGATTGCTGTTGCAATTGCCTGAGGACATCAGTCACCAGCTCTTTTGCTCTTCCAAAGCACATTCTAACCAAGGACTCACCAGGGAATTTCCCAAACTGGGGCTAATCACTGATCCCTAGTGTTCAGGGGCTCCAGTTCTTGGACTGAGCAGGTACTGGTTCTTCTGGCTTTCCAGCCTGCAGATGATCTCTATAGGGCCCTTTTATAATCAAATCTATATCCTATTGATTTCTCTAGAAAACCATAATACACCCCTGCTGTGGGCTCTATAACCAGGCCAGTACACACCACGTCTGGACACAGAATGGGACTTTTTTGTATGGCCAGTCCCACCTGCCATCCTGCCACTGACTGCATGGGCTCCTGCATTAAATGAGCTGTACATCCTGCACTAGTTCAACCCTTCAAGCATTTTATAGCCACCAAACCCCTCAGTATCCTGGTTCTTCTGCAATGAACTAGGCCTCCATCCAGCAATTTTTTTGTGGGGGGGGGGGGGGGCGCGGGGGTATGCTGGGGATCAAATCTAGGACCCTGTGCATGATAAGTGCTCTACCACTGACCTACACACCCCAGCCCTCCAAAAAAATTTTGTACCCACTGAGCCACATCCGTAACCCTTCCCCAACTTTTTTTGAGACAGGTTCTCACTGAATTGCTGAGGCTGGCTTTGAATTTGTGATCTTCCTTCCTCAGCCTCCCAATCAGTTGGGATTGCAGGCATGCACCACCATGCCCAGCCAGTCCTTTAAAAATTCACACCACCAGCTTTGGCCCCCAAACCCCTGACTTTGGTACAGCACCTGTGTTGTCCACACTTTATAGCACACAGTCACCCACCCACTCTGGCCTAGGTGACTTGTGGGAATCCAGGAGAGTAGCTGATTTAGGTACAACCTACGCTGTCACCAGCACCAGGACAATCTGACCTCCTTCTCTGCCTTCAGGATCATCCATCCCATGAGAGCAGACAGTTTGCTTCACTTCTAAGATAACTCAAGAGTTACATTAGAGACTGGAGATTATGTTATTCTCATGCCCATCCCTGCTCCTTTGTGGGGCCATCCTCACAGGCACATATCTTAGATCCCTACAGCTAGTTACGGCCCTTGGCACAGTGACACATGCCTGTAATCCCAGCAATTTGAGAGGCTGAAGCAGGATACAAGTTCCAGAACTATCTCAGCAATTTACTGACACTATCTCAAGATAAAAAGGCTAGAGATGGGGCTGGGGTTGTAGCTCAGTGGTAGAGTGCTTGCCCAGTATGTGTGACACACTGGGTTCAATTTTCAGCATCACATATAAGTAAACAATGGTCCATTAACAAAAAAATAAAAAATAAAAATAAAAAGGGCTGGATATGTAGCTTAAGGGTAAAGCATCCCTGGGCTCAAATTCCAGTACAGGGGTGGGGGGATCCTATGGCAGTTACTTTCATCTGACAATCTCAAGACTTAAAGAGGAAAAAACACACATTTTGACTCCATTTAAATAAAATGTCCCAAATAAGCAAATCCATATAGACAAAGAACAGATGAATTCAGGGGCACTTGTCTACTGAGCCACATCCCCAGCCCTATTTTGTATTTCCTTTAGAGATAGGCTCCCACTGAGTCACTTAGCACCTCACTATGCCCGGCATAGGGTTTCTTTTTGAGGTTTCAAAAATATTCTCACATTGTGGTAATAGTTGCACAATTTTGTAATCATACTAAAAACTACTGTTCATCTTAAACACATAAATTTTAAGGTATGTGAATTACATTTCAATAAAGCTATTACTCAAAACAAAAAACCCTCAATGAAATCCAATATCTTCTCTGGGTCCTTGCTGAAGGGTGACTGAAGGCCTGGGGTGGCCAGTACTTATTTGGACATGTATGTCCTCTGATCACCAGTCATCTGAGAAACTCCCCACAACTCTAGATAAAGAATAAATTCTTGCTTTTCCAGCCCACCCCCCTTGCAGCCATGTGACCAAGGCCTGGCTAATCAGAACAAAGCAGGAGAAAGTGGAAAGTACATCTTGGTGGCACTGAGGCACCTCCACATCAATATTCTGGTTCTGAGAGAGTTACAGAGTATTTTTTTAATATTTATTTTTTAGTTATAGGTGGACACAGTATCTTTATTTTATTTTTATGTGGTGCTGAGGATCAAACCCAGTGCCTCACACATGCTAGGCTAGCACTCTACCTCTGAGCCACAACCCCAGCCCAGAGTATTTTTAATGACTAGACTTTATCCCTATCTTCTTTCCCCCAATTTGGATCTTCTCTCTAGCATTCTCAGTAGTTCTGATACTTAGATAGTTTTCTGCTTTTAACCAGCCAGAATCCATTCACTGACTTTAAAAAAAAAAAAATAGGATTGTCACACATGACACCAGGGACCCTGTAGCACTCTCCTGGCAAGGCAAACTATACTGGTAGCTATGATCCTAGGCTTACAATCAGGGGAGAGGAGCATTTCAGCTTCCATTTCTATCATCAGGACATCTTTCTCCCATTTCAGAGACTTCAAGCAATAGATATAGTTCTTTTTTTAATTTTCCCTTTTGTGGTACTGGGGATACTTTACAACCAAGACACATTCCCAGCCCTACCCTACATTTTTCCTTGGGTCCTAAGGATTGAACCCAAAGGTACTTTACCACTGAGTTAGATCCCTGGCCCTGCCTTTTTTTTTTTAAATTTTGAGACAGGCTCTTCCTAAGTTGTTTAGTGCCTCACTAAACTGCTGATACTGGCTTTGAACTTGTGATCCTCAAACCTCAGCCTCCCCAGCTGTTGGGATTACAGGCATGTGCCACTGTGCCCAGTTCAGCAAAGCTTTATGTCCCTACCTCCTATTTCCTCTTAAAATCAAAACCAAGTAGTTCTGTGGGAGTGGCTGACCCTTTAAATAACTGTCATCTTTTCAGGACCCAGATTTAAGTAGGAAAAGAGTCTGATCTGACTTTTCACTTGTGGAAGGTGTAGGGTTGGTTGTTTATCCCTGTAAGTGTGGCCCACTAAAAGAGTTCTACAAAACAGTAAAATAATGAAAAATAACAGATGTTTATGAAATGATTCCTATATAAAGTCCCAGCCCTATTGCCACAGACTTCATGGTCCCATTTCTTCAGTACCAGAATCACTGGTTTAAGACTAGGATGGAAGAAAGGCAGAAGGACATAATGAACCAAATTCAAATACAGGCAGTGTGACGTAGCAGAAGGCTGAGCTATTTTTCTTGTCCTGCTCTAGGGGGAGTCCAAGAGCCCTAATCTTCTGAGTTCAAGATTGGATGTGATCTTTCCTTGCCCTTGAACAGCAAAGAACCAGGAGAATGAGCCCAGAGATCCATGTCTCCACAGACCCTTGTCTCCCTAGGCAGTGCAGACAGATGACAGTTCTTCAATACTCTCTGCTCAAAGGGAGATGTCTCTTGTCCTTGCCTGCATTTCGGTGCCTCTTTCGACTCAAGAAACTCTCCAGCTTCTTGCTGCGCTTCAGCTCCTTGAACTTCTCAGCTAGGACCAACTGACGCTGTTCAGCTAGATTACAAGGAGAAAGCAAGTTGGTGAGCAAAGGAGGAAGCCCCCGTCTTTTCCTTTTCCCTGGTTGGTAATTTCTAGTCCCATGCTGGCATATGTGAGTTGTTTGGAGCTCTCTGATGTGTGGGAAGCCAACTTTTGTGTATGTGTGTGTGTGTGTGGTACTGGGGTTTGAACCCAGGGTCTCAAGCATGCTAGAGAAGCACTCTATTACTGAGCTACATCCCAGCTTAAGCCAACGTTTTTATTTATTTGTTTGTTTAATATTTTATTTTTTAGTTGTAGTTGGACACAACACCTTTATTTCACTTATTTATTTTTATGGGTGCTGAGGATCCAACCCAGGGTCTCGCACGTGCGAGGCGAGCACTCTACCACTGAGCCATAACTCCAGCCTGATTAAGGCAACTTTTTGTATGACCCAATCTTACTCCACTGAACCAACTGTGAACTCCTGCTCCTTCTATGTGCCCTGCCCAGCATAAATGTGTATGTGTGTATGCAGGGGATACAAGCATCAATCCTGCCATAATCTAATTAGGGATACAAGAGTGGTTATAAATAACTCTTCCTTACTATTCCACTTTCCTCCAAGTTATTGTGGGATCCAGCCTTCATGCATTCTTTTTTGTTGCTATTGTTGTTCCTGAGGATTTAACCCATGGCCACTTAACCACTGAGCTGCATCTCTAACCCTTAAAAAAATTTTTTTTGAGACAGGGTCTCACTAAATTGCTTTGTCTGGCCTTGAACTTGCAATCCTCCTGCCTCAGCCTCACAAATCATTGGGACTGGGGCTGGGGTTGTGGCTCAGCGGTAGAGTGATCGCCTAGCGTGCACGAGGCACTAGGTTCAATCCTCAGCACCACATAAATGTAAAATAAAGATATTGTGTCTACCTAAAACTTAAAAATAAATATTTTTTAAAAAAATCATTGGAATTACACTTCATGCGTTTTTAAAGGGGCTCATGGACCCCCAACACAGTACCCTGCCAAAATGGCCTCCACACCCACCCCTGTAATCAGCCTGCAAGAGTTGTGCCCCACTCACATTTCTTCAGGAAGTATGGTCGATGACCCTGCTGGGCTTGAGTCCGCCGCTCCTGCTTCAGGGCCAGGCGAAGCTCCTGCTGCCGCTTTCTTTCCTGCTGTGCCATTTCTTGCTGTTCCTGAGGAACAACGATGAGATGAAATGAGATGTCATTAACTTTAACTGCACTCACCACCCACTCGCCATATCATTTACGCACCATTCGCTGAAGTAGCTGCTGAAGTTTCTCATGTTCCTCCCCTGAAAGGTGCTTCTTCAACTGTTTTTTCACAAGCTCCATATTGGAAAATTAACCAGATGGTTAGTATTTTATAAATGTTAATTGAAAGTCTGTGCCAAGCATTGTTCTAAGAAGTTTACACTTTGACACAGGAATTTTATCTTCCCTTTATGTATGTGTGGTGCTGGGGATTGATCTCACAGCCTCACAGGTGCTAATAAAGCCCAAGTTCTACCACTGAGCTACAGCCCCAGCCCTTATTATCCTTTTCATAATTTGAAAGCTGAAGCAATGTTAAGTGAAATAAGTTTGGCACAGAAAGACAAAAACTGCATGTTTTCTTGTTCTCTTATATGTGGAAGCTAAAGCTGGTCTCAAAGAAGTAGAGAACAGAATAGCAGTTACTAGAGCCTGTGAAGGGTGTAGGGGAGGGAGGGACAGAGAGAGGATGCTTGACAGGTATAGGGGTATAGCTGGACTGGCCAGAATGGTGCAGAATGTAATCCCAGCTACTCAGGAGGCTGAGGCAGGAGGATCACAGATTTGAAGCCAGTTTGGGCAAATTAGCAAGACCCTGTCTCAAAATAGAAATAAAAAGGATTGGAGATGGGGGTGGGGTTGTGTCTCAGCAGTAGAGCCCTCACCTAGCACGTTCGAGGCACTGGGTTTGATCCTCAACACCACATAAAAATAAATAAAATAAAGGTATTGTGTCCAACTACCACTAAAGAATATAGTTTTTTTAAAAAAGGACTGGAGATGTAGCTCAGTGGTAGAACACCCTTGAGATTCTATCCCAACTACCGAAATAAAAGGGCTGACCCCCACACCGCCCACCCCACCACCACCATCAGTGCAGCAGGCGGGGTGTAGTTAGATAGGAAGATGACTTCCAAAGCTGTACAGCACAGCAGGATAACTATGGTTGACAACAGTGAAATGAACATTTCAAAACAGCTCATACATTTTTTTTGGTGTGTGTGTGTGTGTGTGTGTAGGGGATTGAACCCAGGACCTTGTGCATGCAAGGCAAGCACTCTTACCAACTGAGCTATATCCACAGCCCCAGCTCATACAATTTAAAAAAAAAAAAAGTTTTTTTTAGTTGTAGATGCACACAATATCTTTATTTTATTTATTTTTTTAATGTGGTACTGAGGGTCGAACCTAGTGCCTCATACATGCTAGGCAAGTGCTCAACAGCCCCAGCCCCAGCCCATAGAATTTTTAACATTCCCAACAACATCAAATTATATGTTGTGGGTGAAAAATATTCCAGTTACCCTCATCTGATCATTACACATTGAATATGTATACTGAAATGCCACACTGTATCCCATAAACATGCAATTACTATGTGTCTATTTTAAAAGATCTTAATTTTAAAAAGTAAAGCTTCCTGCCAAGCCTGGTGCCACATGCCTATAATTCCAGCAGCTCTGGAGGCTGAGGCAGGAGGATCATGGGTTCAAAACCAGCCTCAACAAAAGCAAGGCACTAAGCAACTCAGTGAGACCCTGTCTCTAAATAAAATACAAAATAGGGCTGGGGATGTGGCTCAATAGTCGAGTACCTGAATTCAACCCTCAGTACCCACCCTCTCCCTCCCCCAAAAAAGTAAAGCTTCCAGCTTTCCTCTGTCTACTCTCTAACCTCTGCCCTGGTTCCCCATCTCCTAAAATACTCATGAACCAATCTCAAGCTTATACCTCTTTCTCTTTGGCTCGGATGTCATTTAAGAATTGATATGTTTTGTCAAACACCTCAGGATTATATTCTCCTGATAGATCATCAAAGCGGGGGTCCCGGGCCACCTTTGGAGAAAGTAGAGAGAATATAAAATACTGTTCAGTCTCCTTTCACTGAGAAACTGCTCCCTGCCTCTTCCTCACCTTTTTACTGACTGGAACAACCTGACGTAAAAATGGCACTCGAACCTTGGCTGACATCTCCAGAGGCCTAAGGAGAAATTACAAGGATGGGTCAAGGAGACTCCAGTCTTGGTCAAAGGCTTCCCATCTGCCAACAAGAAAATAGACACCTAGCGGGGCATAGTAGTACACACCTGTAATCTAAGCTACTTGGAAGGCTGAAGCAGGAGGATTCCAAGTTCAAGTCTAGCCTGAACAATTTAGTGAGACCCTGTTTCAAAAATTAAAAAGTGATGGGGATGCAGCTCAGTAGTAAAGGACCCCTGGTTTCAAACACCAGTACTGTTTAAAAAAAAAAAAAAAAGAGGGAAAGCAAGCAGACCCCTATTCAAGGTCCTGGGTATCCAACTCCTAAGGTAAGCCTTACTTCTCACCTGTGCTTATCTGCAACACATGCATTTCGGACAGGTGGTCTAGAACATTGCTTCTTAGTGCCGTTTCCAGCTACCAATTGTTTGTATGTTTTGGTTCCCACTTGGCTCTGCAATTTCAACAGTTCCTCAAATGACATGTCAGCTATACCTGCAAAAGTGGGGAGGATTACATAATTCAGCTTAGTATCTCCCTCTGTAGAAAAGACATCATCTCATTCCCATTCCTCAGATCCTTTCCAACATCCCCATCAGATCAATCATTATTTATAAGTCCCATACAGCACAGGCTGTGATTATGATGCTATAATACTACTTAATTCTTCAAATGTTTTAGCTACCTGGAGCCTCATCTTACTAACAAAGGTATATGGCTGCTAGGTGAGGTAATCCCAGTGACTCAGGAGGCTGAGGCAGGATCATAAGTTTGCAGCCAAGCTCAGCAATGTAAGAGAGACACTAAGCAACCTAGCGAGACCCTGTCTCAAAATAAAAGGGGCTGGGGATGCTGTTCAGTGTTTAAGCACTCCTAGGTTTAAAAGAAAGAAAGAAAGCTATAGGATTGCCAGGTGCAATGGTGCACACCTATAATCCTGTGACTCAGGAGGCTGAAGCAGGAGAATCATATGTTCCAGGCTAGCCTCAACAACTTAGCCACACCCTCAGCAATTTCGAATGACTCTGTCTCAAAATAAAAAACAAAAAAGGACTAGGGATATAGCTCAGTGGTAAAGTACCCCCGAGTTCAGTCCTCAGTACCAGGGGCAGTAGTATCAGAGATCAACCAAGGATAGTCTCTCCCCTCCACCCTCTTTTTAAAATCATTCCATCATGGAGTTACCCCACAACAATCTGCCTCACTCATTCAGTTACCACTGCCACAGTCCTGGTTCATACTTTCAGCATTTCTCAACTCATCTCATTCTTATGCCCTAACCTCCTAACCGGACTCCCAATCTCCAACCTTTCTCTTTCCAAAGCTATGTTCCCCACTTTGCCTGAGGAGCATCAAAACAAAATTGACCTTATCACTCCCACACATAAATTTCAGATCATGTCACTTCTGAACTCAAAGCTTCCCAATGGCTTCCATCCTACTCAGAGTGAAAGTCATTTCTTATGAAGGTCTGAAATCCCCAAGCGACCTGGCATCCTGTAATGTCTCTCCTAATCATCTTTCACTCTTCTCCAGCCAACTGGCCTCCAACAGTTCCTGAGCAGTAAAATATGGTCCCATCCACCTCTGCTTGGTATGCTTCACCCAGATGTATTACTTGCTCCCTCACCAAGCCTTTCCTGAAATATCTCCTTCCCAGGAAGGCTTTCTCTATCTTACTTTAAGTTGCAACCCCTACCTGCTTTCTCTCCACAGCCTTTAACCCCCTTCTTAAAAACTGATCTAAAAGGGGCTAGGGTTGTGGCTCAGTTGTCGAGCCGTTGCCTCACATGTGTGAGGCACTGGGTTCAATTCGAAGCACAGCAACAAAAGAATAAAACAAAGGGCGCTGGGGATGCAGCTCAATCGGTAGCGCACTCTCCTCAGCACCACATACAAACAAAGATCTTGTGTCCGCCGAAAACTAAAAATATAAAATAAAATAAATTCTCTCTCTCTCTTAAAAAAAAAAAGAATAAAACAAAGGTTCATCAACATCTAAAAAAATATTTTAAAAAACTGATATACAAGGGGGCTGGGGTGATGGCTCAGTGGTAGAGCGCTTGCCTAGCATGAATGAGGCACTAGGTTCAATTCTCAGCACCACATATAAATAAAGTTCTATCAACAACTAAAAAAGTTAAGTTTAAAAAACTGATATACAATCCACATACCCTAAAATTCCCCCTTTTAAAGTATACAGTTCAGGGATTTATTGCTTTTATGTAAAATTTGTTTGCCTTTTCTTTTTATTGCCCTTCTGAAAGGTAAGCTACATGAGAAGTGTTTGCTGAATTCACTACAGTATCCCCCGCAGCCCTACCTCTGCCTGCACAAAGTGGATGCTTACTAAACGCGTAATCTAAGTCTTCCCCAGAAAAATGGAGACCTTTCCTAGCTCCGTGGTACTGAACGTGTTTTCTCCTTGAGAAAACCGCTCAGAATGTTCTAAGCCCAGAAGCACCCACCCTCCGACCTTCCACAGCGCGGCGGGCGCTGTCTCTGAAATTTCCCAGTTTACCGAACAGTTTCTGCGGGTTCGAAGCCCCCGCCAGGCCGCGGCAGCCTCCCGTTTGCACCCAACCCCGCGCCCTCACCGCTCGACAGGTCACGGGCCACGGCTCCGAGCTCCACGTCCCCGCCCTCCGGAGACCCACGCGGATGCCGGACCGCGGGCACCGCGCGCGGACAGGTTCCCGGCATCGCTCTCGCTGCGTTCCGAGGAAAAATGGCGCTGCTTCCGCTCGCGGCGGCTCCCACCCCGCCTCTTCCGGCAACATGAAAGCTGGGTTTCAACTCGAGGGAGAGTGCAGAAAACAGGCAGCGCCACCGACGGTCTGGAGTAGAGCCCAAAGGCGTCCGCTCCGCAGAGAACGTCGCAACTTTCCGCCTGAGGCCCTGGGGCCAGGCCTTGGTGGCATTTCCTGATACTCTCGGTTGACAGATCTTCCCGCAGCACCCTGTCCCACAGGCAAACAACTGCCATCTCCACGGTATTTCATAAAAACACGCCACACGTTGGGAGGTTTTAATTCATTTTTATAAAATCCGAGCTGGCTGACATTCAGGGTACAGCAGCAGCTCAGGGAAGAGTGGGATTATCTGCTGGTCCCCGTCTCCCCACGTCGGGGAGAAGGAGGTTTCAAGCCAACAGCTGCAATTCCTCTCAGTTCCCAGTCAATGCTCAAGGCTCAAGCACGGGGAAGGGGTTGGGCATGGAGGGAGAGGGAAGCTCCTGAGGCTCACACACTGCTTGCTTCTCCTTCTCCCCATTCCCTTCTCTTCCCAGCAGAGCCTAGCTACCTGGCTGGCCTGGGGCAGGGCAGAGGCCCAGGAGCAGTCGGAGGGAGGTGGACAGGAACAGAGCACCAAGGGGAAGGGGCCCTTGGCCCAAGGGGGGGCAGGGAACTGGCCCTCCCCATTAGAGCTCCCCCACTGAATTCACAGCACAAAACACCTCTAGTCCAACAACTCCACATGGAGGTATACTGAGTCCAGGGTCCAAAGGGGCAGGCAGGCGAGATGGGAAGGGGCAGTGAAGACAACAGCAGGCTCAGGAGGGAAGGCGGCAGAAGGCAGAAACTTCCTCCTACCCATGGGAGGAGACGATGGGGCGACTGATATTGCTGTTGGTGGTCATGGCATTCAGCTCCCACCTGGAAGGCCAGAAAGGACAGAAGAGGGAGCCCCCCCACCTAGAATTCCTCACCCAAAGCTATGAACACACAAGTCCCTCCAAGCTAATAAAGCTCAATTCCCTACAGCCACCTCTTCCTTACAACCAAGTGAGGTTTAATCATCACACCCCACCCAGGAGCAAATCCAATTCCACCTACTCCACCTCTAAGCTCTATGGATTTCCTGTTTATGTTTATATATGCATATTTACATGTATGTATATATTTTCATTCCTGAGTCCAAACACCTGGGATCTGTGTGTTCATCTCAATAAACATCCCAACCTACTTTTCCTGCTCTGGTCAGATTTAACCTGGCAGCCTGTTTACCTCAACCCCACCAGTAACATCTACTTTTGCTGTCAACTTCCATCCTTTTAAGGCCCAGAGTAGGGTCTCCTATTCTTCCTGAGGCCTTCTCCATCCATCCCACCATATTAAAATTAAATTTCTCTACTACAATTTTTTCATTCTACAAAGATTTACCAAGTAGCTACTAGGCCAACACAATGAACAATCTATTTGGTGTTAGGTACATGTATCAATCTTTAGCCAGTCTGGGATCCATCAGTTCAGACAAGTGTCACCAAATTCTGAACACAAAGACCCTCAACAAGTAAGAATTAAAGTGAACTGACATAAAGGATAGTGGTTCAGAATAAACCAGAAGGGCAAAATGATACACAAAGTAACTTGGTGCTTAATCTGATACTAAGAATGGAATTCAAAGGCAAGAAGCCAGGAGTTCCCTTAATTCTGAAACTAAGGTTAGAGGCTTCTAAACTTGCCTTTACTTTGCATGCAGGGTCTAAGACTTAATAGCTGTTCTCAGCATGTTAACAAAAACTATATAAGCTCAGGTATCAGGAAGCAATGCTTCTGAGTGTGGTTCAAAACTAGACTAGGGGGAGGGGGCAAAACCGGAAACTGAACCCAGGGCCTCCTGCCCAGGCTGACCTCAAATGTGGCAATCCTTTTGTTTTAGTCCCTGAGTACCTGAGATCATAGGCATGTGCCACTCACTGCACCCAGCTGCATTTTTCTTTTCCCTACATAACTGACCCACCTGACAGGTGACTGACTGTACACCTTCGCCTCCTTCCACCTATTCCTCATATGAACACTAAGTCCCTAGCACAACCAAAAAAAAGTCTCTTCCATACTGAAACTAATCAGGTCACACCTGTGCTGCACATTCACCCTCAACCAATCCCTCCTTTGTAACCACTTGCTGTACCTGATGTCATGGGGCAAACAGGACTGGTCCAGATTATACTGAATCACCGCGAGTTTGCACAGAGTCTTCAGACTAGGGCCTTTAAAGAAGGAGTTGGGGTAGGGAAATGGTCAAAGCTGAGAAAAATTGCAGTCCTGGACACTACCACCCAAAGACAGGGACCCTGATGGCAGGAGCAGTTCAGAAATAACTTACTAAAGTCCAAAATGTGTAAATCAGAGTGATCTATGAGGTCAAATTCATCTCCCAGGCCTTCCTCGGGAGACGGGCTAAAGGGATCAAGAGAAATGAAGGTCAGAGGAAACACAACCCACAAGACCCTCTTGCTCAAATACCTCCCACTGTTAGTCACAGACTTAGGGCCATTCCTAAGCCTTCCCCTCTCCTCCTAACCTGGTACCCCCAAAGAGGACAATCTTGTCACCAACAATGCAGCAGCACTGGCGTCGGCGGGGACATGGCCCCTTCCCCTTTGGTTCAATTTTTTTCCAGGTAAAAGATACTAAAAGAGAAGTTAATGTATAAATTCAGTACCTGTCTTGTCCAAATATCTTCACCCCTCCAGCCCCTCACCTACTCAGGATTATTTTTCTTTTCCTCCCACCTCAATTACTCCTTGTGCCTCCCCTAAAGGCAGTGCTTTTTACCAGGGTTAAACTTCCAGAGATCATGGAAGTGCCGGTTCAGCCTTGCATTATAGCCACCAAAGATGTACAGCTCTCCATTGTAGCCAACTGGAAAAACAGCAAAATGTTAAGAGTGTGGGATCTGATAGGGGACTCCACAAGCAAGTAACACACTCACAGGCTGAGTGGCTCCGGCGTCCCTCAGGCAGCACTGGAGTGGGTGGGCAGTCCAGCCAGGCCTCAGTTCTGGTGTCAAAGACGCGAATACGGTTGCAGTAAATCTCATTGTTAGAATGGAATGGCCCAAAGCGGTCAGCACGGCCTCCAAAGACATACATGTGATTGCCCAGCATTGTGGCTGAGTGGAAGTCCCTCCAGCGTGCAGGATTGCCCTGAGCAGGTGGCAGAGAGATGGGGGAGAACTTCAGCACAGACACTGAAAAGAGATCTGTTCAATTTGAGTTTTCTATGATTTCTATGAAGGGGGGGATCCAGGGGAAAGAAATGCTGACCTTTGTACAAACAAGGGTCCATGTCATGGTGCTGGTATCCAGCTTATGAATGTCATTGGAAAAGCAGTCCGCCTGAGAGGGAAGAGAAAGGAAAGAACAGAGAGGGCCAGTGGTCACTCTCTGACTTTCTACTCCTTCCCTCAAAACTTGCTAACAAGCCAAAAAAGCCTCCAATTCTACCATGCTAAATCCCCCTTCCTCTTTCTCATTTCCACACTAACCCCCTAGGTTCCTCCCAGACTTACCAACTGCTCGTAGCCCCCAAAAATATACATGATCTTGCCCAGGACACAAGCTGAATGTCCATCCCGGGCACCAGGAACAGTTCCTGACACTCGGGGTGTGGACCATTTGTGAGTATCTGAAGGAGGTGAGAGAATGACAAAGGTCAGCAATCTCTGACACTCCCTCCTAAACTCAGGGGTGCCCTACTACCCAGTACCCCCAACCATACCTTTCCCACGCCCCTAAGGCACCATTTGGCAGAACACAGCTTCTCTTTGAGACCCATACTCACTGACATCAAAGGCATAGAGTACGTTGCAGGCCCCTTCGGTGTCATTCCGCCCACCCCAAAGGAAGACTGTGTCATCGATGAGAACGGTTGAGTGTCCATACCGCATGTAAGGTACCACAGGAGCTTGCCCACGGATGGCAGGCCTCACTGGAGGCAGCTTTGTCCAACGCAAGGACACTGTGGGCACAGCTCTGCTCAGCCTGTTGTCCCTCCCTCCAGGACGTCCAATTTTTCTCAAACCAGACATTTATCCCCAATCTCTTTGGGCACAGGGACCACCACCAAACCTCATCCAGTCACCTTTTCCCCTCCCTGATATGGGCACCTAGGGACAGTGCTGGCTTTGGCTTACCTGCATTGAAAATGTGCACATCTATCTGACGCAGTGTCTCGTAGTCTTCACCAGAGCAGTAACCCCCGAAGGAGTATACCCGATGCCCAACAGCCACTGCAGCATGGTTCACCCTGCGGGGCCCGCCCTCCAGATGCACTGTCCACCGTAACATCCCCTGGGTCACTGGTTACAGCAACATGCCCCCCCGGCACGGCCTGCTGCCTCTGCTACCTGCACACAAGTCAGGGCCACAGGCTCCTCAGGCAAGGCTTCTGCCTGGCTCTTCGTGACTGCCCAGGACCAGCCCCTGCCTCCAAGTGTCACCCTGGTGGCCCTCCCACACCACCCCTCTGCAGGAACAGTAGTCACAGCTCAGGTGGCTGGCCTTGTTCCAGAACGGCTGCTGAGGTCAAGGAGCTAGCCCTGGCTCTGTGTTCTCCCACTGCAAAGGGTGGGGCCACCTTATACTAATGCCAGTTCAGAATCTGGTGATCATGGTTGCCCCTATTCACACAGACTTTACCCTGTTCTTGGCTTGGCACAAGCTCTAAGCCCCCTTCCTGGGCTCGGTGTGTTCTCTTGACTCTGGCTCTGCTTACTGCCACCTCTCTAAGAATCTCTATGCTCTTAAAGGTGGGGAAAGGGATCCCAAAATACTCATAGCTATTAATAGCCCAGCCAGCTCCAGATAGCCCATTGAAACTGGCAAGGGTGCTTTAAAGCAAAAAAAGCTTTTAGGCTTTGAGTGTAACAGTGCCCCTACCCAGGACAGAGAACTCCATGTTACCATGGTTGATTATCCCCTTACAGCAAGTCCTTTTCAAGCTGAGCCACTGTCACTGGGGTCACCCAGGGTGCCCACAGGCACGAGGAGTTCCTTTGACAGCTGTGCCTGGTATGCTGCCAGGACTATAAACTTAAGCCAGAAAGTTATGTGTGTGCTGGTGTTTGGGGACAGGGAAGAGGAGTTTTCTTTTTCTGCCACTTCCCCAACCCTGCTATTATAGTAGAGAACAAAGCCATTTCCAGCAGCTCTTCCTCTACGTGGGGTCCCTGAAAGGGGTACAGGGCTGGCAGTGTGCACTGGAAAGGGGATGGGAAGCAAAAATGCTTTTGAGCAGAACAAGAGAAAGACTGAGGCACAAGAGGTCATGGTCTCTTAAAGGTAACCTGCCAAGCTAGTGATAATGGGTACATTTGAGGGCTCTTTCAAGCAAATCCTCTTGCAACTGGCAATGCCTTTGCAGGCAGACACCTGCTGGGTTTGGTGGATCATCTGCTCCCAGTTCAAAAAGCCTTGGCAGAGAGAAGAACCAGGAAGAAACTCAGACACACACACACACAAAAAAAAAAAAAAAAGAAGAAGAAGAAGAAGACACAAACAAACAACAACAAAACTCAAGTAAGGGAGAAACCCCTTGCAGGAAAGAGACATGGCTTTCAGTTGGCTTTCCAGTCCCACCCACCCAGCCTCCCCCAACCCCACATCCCATGCTTTAAATAGCCATCCCGCAAAACCTGAAATAGCCACAGCCAAGCTACTCTCACTTCGGTTACTCCAACTCACAATCCAAAATATCTTGGATCTGGGTTTGTGGAGTTAGGAGGTTGAAGGGTTTAGGAATGCAAGTATTTCATCTTCCCTCACAGTCTCTACTCTCCCTTCAAAAAAGTCCAGGTAAAGTTTAAGAATGCACACAGAATAAACAAGCAATTCCAGCCAAAGGGTTGGAGAGAGAATCTTAGCTTCTCCTCTACAAAGACAACTCAAAGCGAGACCAAGCCAGAAGGTCTAAGAGGCTCTTCTTATCTTTGGGTCTCCCCGATCCTCCATCACTATGTCATTTTCAAGCTCCTTCCATTTCCTTAATGTATATCGATCCCTTTCCCTGGTTTCTTGCAAGACCCACGCCCCATTTGTGGCCCTTCTTCTGAGAGCTTTGCAGTTTTCTCATTTTCTTCTCCCACCACTACAAGAACACCCCAAGAGCCCTCCACCATTTTTCTACCTCTACGAAAGGAAGAAAAACTAACACTGATTGTCTCCTTTCGGCCACAGATATTCCTCTGAATGACTCTGTTTTCTTCCACCCTACTCGGACTCCCCTCCCCCACAACGCAAGACACCCCCTCCTTTCATTATGCTCAACTTCCTCGCTTCCTTTTAACCCGTCTTCCTCCCAATTTCCTTCAATGTCTCCTTTAGCCACCAGGTCTCTCCCACCTTCCAACCACCATCCTCCTCCAGTCCTTTCCCCATTAACACTCTCCTTTCCCATCATCCCCCTAGTTCCCTCCCCACCCCCACCTCATCATTCAGGCCCCTCCCCCACGACTCCAGCCCTTAGCACAGGCGTCGCCAGCCCCCCTAATTCTTCCTTGCCCCTCAACCCATCCCAGGCTACCTGCCAGGCCGGGCCGGGGCGGGGCCGCGAGTCCTCGCGCTGCCAGAAGCCTAGAACCAGTTGCGCGCCAACCGACGCCTAAGTCCCCAACGAGATAAACACAGCCAGGATCCGTCCTTCCGGCGGGCAGCGGGGCGCGCACGTGCAGTCTGAGTTACGTCCCGACGCCTTCCGGGACTTGTAGTCCACAGGTTTCCTGAGGGCCATAGGGGCAGGAGCCTACGGAGAGATTATGCGCATGTGCACATATGTGTCAAGGCCGTGGGGTTCACTGGGTAATGTAGTCCTTTGTTGTCCGGGCAGGGGATGGCGGAGGCGGGGCTAGGGGGGGACTCTTCGTCCTCGCTCGCGTCAGTCCAGAGCACGGGGCGGGGCTGGAGGACTGGGAGCCCCGGCACGTCCTGCCCCACCGGAAGTGAAGGTGCGGGTCCGACGGTGGGCTCTGAGAGGGTGAGGCGCGCGGAAACACCGGCGCTGAGAATCGGTGGGGCGGGTGGGGACGCCGCAACTGGGACCTTTTGAGGGGCGCCCCGGGAGCCTGAAGGGGTTTTGTTAGGCGGTTTAGAGGGGAACCCTTAGGAGAAAGGAGGAGGGGGAGGGTATGCTCTGTCCTGGGGAGACGTGCGACCTGGGGTTCTTTAGTCCGGGAGGGGCGTGGTGGGGAAGCCGGGGTTCTGGAAAGCTGGTAGGGTCTCTAGTTGGGCTGTTTATTTAGAGACTGGGAGAGAGAGGCGGGTGGGGCCTGGTCCTAGAAAAGAGCCCGGACTTAAAAGGGGGAGCAACGAGAGACTGAAGGAGTAGGGGAGAAGGATGCGAGTAGGGGAGAAGGATGCAGGAAACTTGGGGAGTGAAGCTGGTTTGATGGAAACAACGAGACTGTGAGAAGCTGGAAAATAAGATGAAGGCGCTCCTAGTTTCATCCAATCCCTATCCTCCTGCCTCCCTGTTCTTGCAGCCCCTGCCCGGATGGCCGCAGTAGTTCTAGGGGGAGACACCATGGGCCCTGAGCGTATCTTCCCCAATCAGACTGAAGAACTGGGGCCACATCAGGGCCCTACAGAAGGCACTGGGGATTGGAGCAGTGAGGAGCCTGAAGAAGAGCAGGAGGAAACAGGGGCAGGCCCGGCTGGCTACTCCTACCAGCCCCTAAACCAAGATCCTGAACAAGAGGAGGTGGAGCTCGCACCAGTGGGGGATGGAGAAGATGTAGTTGCTGACATCCAGGATCGGATCCAGGTATAGTGGAGGGAATTGTTAAAAAAAACAAATAAAACTGAGCTCCTGAAAATTAAAGCAGGACCCTACCTGTCTCTCTGGTTCCACAGGCCCTGGGGCTTCATTTGCCAGACCCACCATTAGAGAGTGAGGATGAAGATGAGGAGGGAGCTACTGCATTGAGCAGCCACAGTTCTATTCCCATGGACCCAGGTAAAAGGATCATTCTTTCGTTAGGGAATAATAGACTGGCTTGAACCAAGAAAGGGAAATTACAGGGGAATAATTTATTCCTAGTTTGTAAGCTAGGATTTTGCTGACTTCAGAATCCAGGTGAAACATTATTCTGCTAGACTGGGGGATGAGCAGGGTTGCTTAGAAATAAGATGGATCTGGTGACCCCACCAGTTAAGGGCTCTGGGTTGATTCAAGAAATGGGAAGAGGAGCTGGGCCCATTGTTTCTATCTCCTAACCAGCCTCTGGCTGTGATTTCAGAACATGTAGAGCTGGTGAAAAGAACAATGGCTGGAGTAAGCCTTCCTGCACCAGGAGTTCCTGCCTGGGCTCGGGAGATATCAGATGCCCAGTGGGAAGATGTGGTACAGAAAGCCCTTCAAGCCCGGCAGGCATCTCCTGCTTGGAAGTGACCATAGTAAGAACTGCCTCATCTTTCTACATTCCAGGCCAGAACTAGCACAGGACTGAATACATCCTCTGGTTGTAATATCTTACCCATCACCCTTTCACATCAAGGCAAATCAGACTTCTGCTCAGAGACCCACTTTATTCAGTTCTGTACATATGGGGACATTGGCCCAAGCCCAACCCACCTTAACATGTATCATTCTGTGGAGAATAAAGCACCCTATGTACACAGCCAAAAGCCACACTGCCTGTATTCCTGGAACCTGGGTCCAGCCCTCCCAGCCCCTTTCCTCTCCAAAAGGGACCAGTTAGGGCCTGCCCAGCATCAGCACAAACAAGGAAATAAATAGGTATTGGGGGGAGCTATGCTTGGGGCACTGCTCCCTGCTTTCTTCTTTCAACTTTGGGAACCAACAGCACAGGAAAGCAGTCAGCCACAGGGTGGTCCCTTCCATGTTTGTGATCCCAGGGCTGCTGCTCACCAGAGAGGGGGTGTAGGGTAGGGGTGATTATTTACACCCTCCCCTGCTTGGTCCATCTGGGCTCTATACTCATCATCTGTTGTCCACAGCCAGTACTTTTCTCCTTTAGGATCTCCATGTTCTCTTGAACAGGCAGGGAATAAAAGGAAATAATAAAACCCTGTCGGCCTGCACACTGCTAGGGCTGGGGGCTTATTTGTGCTGCTGGAGTTTGACTCCCCTCCAGCTGCTCACTCCAGGGGCCAGTGGAGCTTGACATAACTTTGGTGAGAATAACCTCCTGCTCCTTCCTATATGCCTCTGCAGTCAGGGGAGAGGAAGAGACACCTAGAATTCAGGTGAGGATGAAGGGGAGAGGAGAGGAGCATATGTATTCCTGTGTGTATTTCTCAGCAACCTCATATAGCTGTGGGTTAGGAGCAGAAGGGGGACAGGCATCCCCAGGTTCTCTTTGCACTGAGCATCTTGATGCTCAGCCTGTCTGTACTAGCCACAGGGAGGCATGAACACGCTTTGGGGAGAAGAGAGACCACTAGGTGTCCCTGCTTCAAGTGCCTCCATCCTCTAGAGTCGCTAGCTAGAGAGGTGCTGCCTTTCCCCAAGTCAGCCAGTAGGGAGCAGAGGGTGGAGGGCTGGGGCAGCGTCCCAGGGCTGAGTGGGCTGTGACCCTGTGGGAAGGTGAGGGGGTCAGAGAGCCTCTTGGCTGGCAGTTAGGAACTCTTCTGCCCGCTTATGGGCCTCCAGTGCCTTGATGGTGTAGACGTCCTGGGGCAACTCTGACTTCCTCCGAAGCAGCACTTTTTCCTTCTTGATGTCCTTCAGCATCTAAAAGTGGATAGGGAGAAGACAAGGAATGATGATCAATTCCCAAGGAATTGTATTTCCTTCTCTTATTCTTAGGTTCTGTTGCTCTTCTTTCCCTTCCAGACCTGTTAATTTCTACTCCACCTCCCCAGTCCTTACCCCTGGTGCCCTCCCACCTGCACAGCCTCTGTCTCCACCGTCCTCTTCAGAAGCTGGATGTCCTCTGCTGTAGGGGTTTCTGTCTCCATGGAGTACACAGGAGGCAGAGGTGGAGGAGCACGGAACATGGGATACTGAGGGAGGAGATGTGGATGAAGAGTTGAGAGCCACTTCAGAGGTTTGTGGGACTGTGTGTCTCATATTCTTCCACCAAAAATCCCTAACCCCTAGTTCCAGATGGGACCCTGAGTTCAGGGCAGTGGCATAAAAATCTCACCTGAGGATTAAGCCGGGCCAGCTCCTCAATCTTTTGCCACATCTCTTCTCTTTCCTTCATTCGGAACCGGCCCCTGAGGGAGCAAAAGTAGGAATGAGAGAACGAAAGTGTGCTGGAAGTAAAAAATGAAAGTCTTCCAGGGAGGGCTGGGATTGTGGCTCAGCGATAGAGCGCTCGCCTAGCACGGGCAGGATCCGGGTTCAATCCTCAGCACCACATAAAAATAAAGGCATTATGTTGTGTCCATCTACACCTAAAAATAAATATTTAAAAATAAAATAAAACAATATTTAAAGAAAAAAAAAAGTCTTCCAGGGAGAGAAATACTCACTTCTGTTTCTCTGCCTTGTACTGTTGTGTGCAATCATCAAAGAGCTTCTGATTCATTTCCATAAACAGCTTCAGGGCATTGTAGATCAGTCCATGGATTGTCCTGCCACCCAGAAGAAAGATCACATGCAGGCCAGAGCCTACCCTTAATGCCTGGGCCCCATGTTTACTTGTTTATAGGAGGTGTCTCTACCAACAGCTTTTTCATTTACTACCCCCATTTCCCAAACCTTTATAAGCAGATAGTTCTAGCCAAATTGTGTGACTTAAGACTAGCATTTCATGATCTTTGCAAATACTGATCCACCTGTCTATACTTCCCCTATCCCATACTCCAAAAGTCTTCCTTCTTTACACCACTTCCGACTCTAATCCACACTAATGGCCTCCCAGCAACACAATGGACTGAGTGTACCATACTATATGTTTGCTCTCAGCAAGAAGCTTTTTTTTTTTTAAACAACTCTTAGATTCTATGCATGCTCTCTAAATGGATCACATCAGCTTCTCCCAGCATAGAATTGTGTCTTCAAAGCTGTAACATACCTGTGGAATAGCTGACCCCAAAGAGCAATGTACAGGCCAATGCTCTGCTATTTGATATCCCAGAGATCTCTCATACAGGCATCTTTTCTCTCTAGTCAGTCCCTCAAGGATCTACCAATAAACAGTGGGCATCAGCCCCACTTGCTGAGTGATCAGGTGAGATTCACACCTTCAAAGGTTCCAAAACCAGATCCCCACACCCAGCCCCAGCCCAGCCCCATACTTGTTCCAGTGGCTCTTGGAGTTCCTGTAGAGTGCAGGGAACATGATGGGGAGGACTCTGGCAGCATTGTCACTTATCAGGCTCATGATGTATTCATTATTCCAGTAATAGAGAGCACGCTCTGCCACCTGGTGGAGAGAGGTGGGACTCAATGGAGGCACTATCTACCTGCCTTACTCAAGATCTGCTAAATTCCTGGGAGCCTTGGATATGCTGAGTTTGGCTTCACCTGGAAATGGGGGCTGGAGACACACTTGGCAAGCTGACGGAAGAGTGGTTCCATCACTTTGCTAAATTCTGAGGGTTCAATGACATCCAGAATCTCCTCTAGTTCATTCAGGAACATCACCTCCTTGGGGCTGTGAGTCTTGGGCCAAAACTTAAGAAGTCCCACAATCACCTGTTGTGAGAAGAAGACGTAAGGATAAAATTCTTAATACTGTCTGGTTTTCTGGGAAGCTTTCCTGCCTCTCTTCCCCACCCTTAGCCTTGTGGGCAGAGTTTGGGTAACCTCAGCTAACGGCTCATGTTTCTTTGGCTTGGATCTGCTTCCTAAGTGTATATAGATTTCATTTCTCATTCAGGGAGGAAACCATGTCACCTATCAGGCCACAGCCCTCCTGAGCACCTACTTACGGCATTGCTCAATTATAAATTGGTAAGCAATGCTGATGACAATAAAAGGTTGACTTGGGCTCAGAAGGGGAATTACCGGCTCAGTCAGACTGCTCTCCTTCTCCAGGAATTGTACCACACAGTAAGCCAACTGCAAAAGGTTGAGGTAGAAAGGAGGTGAAATTAGGGCCAGACGGTCTCACAATTCAATGACAAAAACAAGATCCCAAAATGGAAGGGGAAATATAAAGGATTTATCCCACCCATTCCCTGTGCCATAACTATCCCAGCAGAAATACCTTCCCTCCCCTCCTTGTCTTTCCTGCCCAAGTTGGGGATCATCAGGAGGAAGGCACCTCACCTGAGGGTGGTATACACTCAGGGACTTGACTTTGTGAAGCGGAAGCAGGACACGGATGAGAAACATCTTATGCTCTTCCTTAAGGGGTAGGGCAAAGCCATTGATGATACTAGGAGTTAATGGAGGTTTTTTAGGACCAAATAGCTAGATCCAAGTTCAATGCACCAGTCCTCCCAACCTTTTTCAGGTATCTATGTTCCTCTACTCCACCTCTCACCTGCCCAAGATCTCCAGGAGTTCAGCAATCCCATTGTGATGCTCTGTCTCATAGATGAACCTGAGAGGAAGAAAATGGGCTCTCTTGACACTAACCCTGATGTCCCTCCTGCATTCTGCAGAGTCTCCATTATCTCACTGCTCCCCCTCTCCTCCCTAGCAAAGGCTTGCTTTGATCCTAAGTCTGGGCTCATGAACTCACCTATAGAAGATGTGGTTGATCTGCCTACGGATATAAGCCCGGAGCCCCAAAAACTTGCCATAGATACGATGCAAAATGGTCTTGAGAAAGTCCCGCTCTCGAGGATCCTCACTGTCAAATAGGTCCAGGAGCTGGAAGCAGGAGGGAGGAAAGGCAGCAAGTGAGGCGGCAGCCAGGGAAGGCTAGGGCTAGGTGACAGGGTCTTAGCAAGGGGAAGCTTCCAGGTTTTCTGGAGAAAGGGGAATAAGGACAAGTGTCTGGAAAGCAGAGTAATTCTATTCTACTGATCTACTCCAAGTGGTATCTGGCCATGCATGTATATGTGTGTGTGTGTATATATATATATATATATATATATATATCCCATTGAGAAGTACTGTATTGCTTTTTTTTTTTTCCATTTTGCTAAAAGCTTCTTAAGGGCACTGAGCTTTTTTAACCCCCCATGGTCTCCTTAAACTAAACCCAGCTGAAATTCCAGTATAATAGTCATAATGGGAAAGAGCATCTGGGACAGAGGTGAGGGGAGGCATGGGGCTACAGCTTATGGAACGGATAGAGGGGGAAGGCAGGAACCTCAGGGACTCACAGCAAGGACAAACTTCTGGTCAATATACTTCTTGGCTATATTCGGCTGGAAATCAGGAGACTCAAGGAAACGTAAGAAAAACTCATATACAAGCTGTAGAGGAAAAGAAACATCCACTGAGGAACTCCCCAAGGAATAAAAGATACCCTGTTCCCTGCAGCCAGAGACAGCATGCTCCCTTGCCCTGGTACCTGAAGATGAGGCCAGGCAGCTTCCAAGGTAGGCTCATCTTCCTCTGGATCGAATTCAGCCCCTGTGGGATTCGATGAAGGTGGCAGTGTCCGGAAGAGGTTCACTGAAAACTGAGGGGTAGGCCCAGCTTAGAGCACCGTGCAGGCTTCTCCAGGGCCCCCACCCCTAGCCCTTGTGTTCTTTCCCCATGCCCACCATGGTTACAGCCTCAGGGTAGATGGCCTCAGTGACAACATCACGGCTGTGGGTGATGTACTCCACCATCTCATTGAGTCCTGCCCGCTTCACCTCCTTAAATTTGAGGTCACTGAGTGGGTCTGACACAAAGTCAAAGAGGACGCAGCACTGGCGTAGCTTCTGTATAAACAGCTCCTCCCGCTCCTGGGTTGGTGAGTCTGTGGAAGGGGCCCCAGCAGTTAGCTTCTCCTCCCCCATCCCTCATCCCTCATGCCCGACCTGCTGGCCTTACAGAGCTTTCCCCTTTCCCACAGTTACCATCCTGTTCCCTGGACCTCCACCCCAATGAAAGTCCCCCTCACATTCTCTTGAATTCTCTTCTGCCCAAGATACCCTAAAACTTCCATTCTGCCAATGCCCAGTGCATGATAACCATTCTGACTAGCTGCAAGTACCTTTCAGGGCAGGAAGCTTCTGCAGCTCCCGGTTCTTGCTGAGGTTGAAGCGGGAGGAGCTTTGCCGTCGCTCCTTCTTGACAATCTGGGGTCCCCCTGAGTACTTGATTTTGCTGAGCTGTGTTGGGGGGGGTGTGCTGTTGCTGGGACGCTTGTTGGATGATGGTGGCTGAGACTGAGGTTGAGGTTGGGGCTGAGGCTGAGGCTGTGGCTGGGGCTGGGGCTGTGCCTGGTCAAACAAGTAATCTGTTGAAGTCCACTCCCCAGGAGATCTTCCCACCCTAGGCTTCCCTTCATCCCTACTCTGTTTATGCCTGTACAGCCTAGGCAGTAAGCAGTTGTCTCATACTCTAAAGAAGTTAGGCCAGAAACAGGAATGGGTATAGACTGTAGCCTTGGAAGGAAACAGTCAAGAGGTCATGTCTCACTAGGCACAGTAGTGCACACCTATAATCCCAGCAACTCAAGAGACTGAGCCAGGAGGATCATAAGTTCAAAGCCAGTCTCAGCAATTTTACAAGGGCCTATACAACTTGGTGAGACCCTGTCTCAAATTTAAAAAATAAAATAAAAAAGGGCTGGGGATGTGGCTCAGTGGTTAAGTGTCCCTCAGTTCAATCCATGGTATAAAACAAAAGAAAGTCATGTCTCCCAAAGTGATACTCAGGCAGTGGGGAAAAACCCTCAAAATGTTCATTCCTGCCAAGCATGGTGGCATGCACCTGTACTCCTGCTCTTTAGGAGCCTGGAGCAGGAGGATTGCTTGAGCCCAAGAATTTGAGATTTGAGACAAGCCTGGGCAACATTGTAAAACCCTTTCTCAAAACAACAACAACAAAAACACTTCATTCTAATTCAGGCAAAATAAATTGATGGATTGATAGTGACACAAATCAGAAAAGTGGTTGTCTTGCCAGAGTAGGGATGGCGGTGGAGAAGGAGTAAGGGTAGTGGTGGTAAGGTACTGCTGAGAAGAGACATTAGGAATACTGTTTTGTTGTTGTTGTTGCTGTTTTTATACTAGGAATTGAACCCAGAGGTGCTCAATCCCTGAGCCACATCCCCAGCCCTTTTTATTTTTGATTTTGAGACAGGGTCTCACCAAGTTGTATAGGGCCTCACCAAGTTGCTAAGGCTGGCTTTGAACTCGAGCTCCTCCTGCCTTAGCTTCCCAAGCCACTGGGATTACAGATAAGCCCTACTGCACCTGGCTGTTGTTTTTTGTGGTATTTAGGATTGATCCCAGGGCCTCATACATGCTAGGAAGTGTTCTACCACTGAGCTACATCCCTAGCCCCATCAATGAAGAATTTTCTTAGTGTTGGAAACATTTTATTTACATCTTGATTGGATCTGGCAAGTGGTACATACCTAAAAATTCACTGAGCAGTACATCTAAGATCAATGAATGTATGACTTTCTTCAATTAAAGGGTAAAATAAATTTATTCTCATGTCTTGGTAGTTTTACTACTAGAAATTAAGCTTAATAAAGATCCTAAATTTAAGAAAAGCTTTTCAGGATGGGGAGATAGCGCAGTGGTGGAGCTCTTGCCTAACACAATCAAGGCCCTGGATTTGATCCCCAGCACTACAAAATTTTTTTTAAAAAGGGCAGTGGGGAGCTTTGTTTGGGGCTAGGGTGTAGCTTAGCAGTAGAATACTTGCTTAGCATGTACAAGGACCTAGGTTCCATCCCCAGAAGAAGGAAAAAAAAAAAAAAAGTTTTGCTGCAAATACTTGAAGAGTCTCACAAGAAAAAATAAATAAGTAGAATTATGTTTATGAAAACCATGTGATAAATGTAACTATGAAAAATAGTTACACAATCCTAGTAATTTCACCAAAATTAATAAGCATTTTGAGAAGAGGGGCAATGTCAGCATAG